ATGCCAGACGTTTGAAGGAAGAGAAGCTATTTTATATTCACCAGCATGCAGCTCAACTGCTTTGAGGAAAAATATATCTGATGTGTGACATGATGCAAAAGTTAATAATAGTCATGATGAGTGTTATCTTGTAAAAATGTTTATAAATATCATGCATCTAAAAGACACTGTTCCATCTATAGATATGAAGTACTTTCCAGGGGGAAATAGGATTTTCATATTTGCAAGAAATGTAAGAATCAGATTATATTATTTAGCTAATCTTATATAACTAACAGCTCACATGATCAAGGTTACAAATAGGTTGCTTGACACAAAAATATATCAAGCTTATCGTGCAATGTTGTTTTTTAGAAATATCATGTATTTGTAAAAAAAAAGTAGATACGATCAGAATTAGAGCTACAGAATCGATTAGAGCAAAAGGCTAATTAATGGATGCTGACTTACAGCAAGATCAAAGAAAGTTTTGTTGCACAGTTTTTAACTGCCTAAATCGATGTCTGTTATCTACATCCATATTTCCATCTATAGCTAATCCATAGCTATATTCATATCTTTACCTATATCTATATTTTTTGCAAGAGGAAGGAATTTCAAATGTTTTCACCAGAAAGAGATTATAGATGAGGCAATAGTTATGCTTACCCAGTGTTGAACATTAAACAATGTATATATGTTTTGGGACATCACATGGTACTCTGTAAATGTTTACAATTGTTATAGATCAGATAAAAGTAAACGTTTTTTAAAAAGTCATTAGTGGAACATTGCAAAATCTGATTCACTGGATGGGTGAAGTTAATGGCTAAATGTGTAATGCTTCAAAACAAAAAGAATTAATTATTGAGAAACACTTGATGGCAGCCCTGTGCTCAGGACCAGCCTTCCAGCAGTGATGTGCTTAGGGCTGTTTCTAGTTAGTGGACCGAGTCTGGCTTAAAGCCCCTCCGTTGCTTGTCTTGTAAATTTTGGTATTGCAGATTTCCTCTTTTCACTGCAATCTCTTTCCTATCCACTTGCGTGGCTACAAAGCCCTCTATAACACAATGATTCCCAAATCGCTAATTCCAGTTTTAATTTTGTTCTTGTGACAAGAAGCACTGACCAAATGCCCACCAACCTTTCCTCCCAGAGGGCTTAAAGATGCTTTATCTTTTAAGCCATGGTCTTGTGCCTCGAATGTTTCTCAAGTGAGAAAGGATTAAGGTTAACAATTATACTGAGTCAATAGGCATAGACGGAGACTACGTGCGTAATTGGTGCTGCGTCTTAAGCTCCACATCTCCAGACCTGGACACGTATTCCATTACTGAGTCCTGATTTTAACTCTTTCCTGCCAGTTAACTTTACCCACATCTCTCATTTTCTGTTAGTATGATTTCCATCATTGGACACTGGAATTATAAAAAAAAATCCCTTATCCGTATCCTTGCACAGTCTTGTTGTTTTAGAGAATTAAAAAATATAAACAGGCTTTTTATTTGGCTTCTTTTGCAGTCTCCTTAGTGCCCCAGGATGAGGTTTATATAAGCAATGTTATCTCTGCCAACCTAATGGGAAATTTCTGCTCTGCATAGTGAATAAAATCATCTTTAAGCTTTGTGCTTCATTGAAGCTGCACATCTTCTCATCCCTTAAAGATGCTTTGTTCCCCTGTACCAGAAGTCCTTTTCACTGCCTTCTATGTTGGTCTGGAATGTTCTTCCCTCTTTATTTTTTTGACATAGCTTGAGTTTCTGTGCTAGTCTTTACCAAAAATGCGACTTCCCTCAGCAAGCCTTACCAGATTCCTTTGAAGATGCCAGCCACCCTTTTGTTAATCTGCTCAGTAAGCCATCGTCACACCGCGCAGTGACTGCCTGTGCGATTGTCTCTTCCATTAGGAGGGAAGACCAGGAACGAAGACTGCGTCTTATGTTTGATTGCTCCCATCATCAGCAGTGTCTAATGTGCAGACTTGGTGGAAAGAATTGATACAACCCTCACCTATTAAAGAAGGCTCTATCTGGTACAAACACACTCATTTATTAATATCACTCTCGTTTTAATCATGAAGGAGATATGATCATTCTTGTCAACTTTTTTTAAATGTTGCAAACAAAGCCCGGAGAAATTAAAATAACTTGTTCAAAGTTACGCAGTTGATAAGAGCCGGGGAGTGGAATTTCAGAGCTGGTTCCCACATTAACCTATTTAAGCAGGTCACTTCAGTGCCTCTCTGATCATGTGGGAAGGCCGCAGAGATCTGCTCACTGGGGAAAACAAGGCAGGTGATTAACGAATGACACAAAGCCAATCCAATATTCAAGAGAGATTCAAGCAGGACCTGGCCTGAGAGTGAAGCTGTCCTCAGCATCCCGAGGAGTCGGCTGACACAACAGACCTCTAACTTGATGTATTCATTTTTGGGTCTGTTTCTGTTTATAATTTTGAAATAATCATAGAAACAGGAATTTTATGGACATTCTTTCTAATCTCTTAATAAGATTATGAAATTGGATTACCCAGCTATGCAGATTATACCTATATTAGCATAAAACCTGAAACATGCTTTATAATATGTCACGGATTTCAGACGTTATTACTTGAGGCTTTTCAGTGGTACCCTCTTCCTCTGTCTTGAACAATTACATTTGTCATTCATTCTGCAAATACGCTTGTGTCTTGATGGACTGCACAGTGTGGAAGATTTTAGGATATGTTGTCCTTGCTTAGCTAAGCTACATACTCACGTAGTTTGCTTCATAGGACTGCTTCCCAGATCTTCATAAGACATGTTGCATGACTAATGCTTGTTAGTTCATTCTTTCATGCTTTCGTTTCTTTGTAGCTGAGGTAGTGGAAGAGCTGTGTCTCTAACATGCTGGCCTGGAACGCAAAGGCAGACAAGCTGATTACTGCCTCTCAGTGGAGAGCTGATGGACAGGACCTTCCGCTGTGAGTCTGGCCTCAGAAGAAAAACCCAGGGTTTCCCCACACACTATGAAAAGTCAGCAAAAGCCAAGAAGTTACCTGAGCAGCATTGAGGACCTTATTCGTGCTAGGATGAACGTTTGGGTCTGCTGGAACTATTACTGATGATAAGTTTTTCTTTAACTGTGTGCTGCAGTAACTTGAAGCATGATTTAAAAAATATATACATATATATAAACATACATTTTTTTTTAGAAATTATAGATCATCCTTTCATTGAACAAGCTCTGGAGGGGCAGTGAGAGAAACTTCACTGGTCATCTTACCGTCTAGAGAAACCCAACGTTACAACTTCCTGTTCTATCACTGCTGTCTTGTATTGTGTCTTTGAGGAGGAGGGGAAGACCAGGGGAGACAGAAAAAGGGGATTTTTCCTGTTCTCAATTGAGAAATGTATTACAAGCATGTTTCCATATCAAGAGCTACTCATCTACAAGGTTGTTTTGATGGGCGCATATTATTTCACTGTATGAATGTATTGTATTTATTTATTTCCTAATGTAGGTAATTTGGTTCTATAATCTTATTTTAGAATAATGAATCCCCTGCCAAACTTTAGAAAATATTGATTCCTTGATAATTGGTCCAGATTATTCCCCAGTGTACAGCCAAAAGTGAGAGTGCTCACAGACAGGGAAGCCATGAAGTAAATGACTGGTAAAGTGCTCAATATTTAGTGCTGGCATCATTAACTCCTCATTGCCCTGAAAACTGCCTCAGGTGTTTTGTGAAAGTGGTCTGCTAATCACTGGACCCAGAAAACCACACGGATTGTGCAGATCAAGAGATTAAATTATCTGTGCTCACTTAGGTAACATCTGAGAAACTGACCACACCAGTAAAGGTGTTCCTACGGACATGCATAGCCGAGAGATGTCACATCAAACCACATGTGCTCCTTTATCATTGCAATGGGTGGAGTCAGTAAGTGTGCCCAGACCAAAGAGTGGGGCTGGACATAGCGTTGGTGTCCTCTCAAAAAAGTGCTGAATTGGTGTTGCACATGATCAAAAATGCGAAACGTGATGCTGAACCTGAGGATTTGATTGTAGAGTCTCGAGTCATGGAACAGCCATCGGTGGAGAGAGCCCTGAGGAAGCAGTGCCTGAAGATGCAGTGCCGGCCCTCGGGCCCTCTGGATCTCACTCAGATTAACTCATGCATGAACTCTTCCTGCTCCACGGAGATGATCCTCACCCAAAATTAACAAATCATTCCTAAACTGGCAGTGGAGGATGACACAGAAATAAAAGGCACAAAAAATGCACGGAGCAAGAAAAACGTACAGCATAAAAGAAATGCAAATGAAATGACAAAAAAAATCATCTTGAGTTGATTAATAAGTCGCAGCTGGTCCCTTCCATGCTGACACACATGCAAAATTAATTTGCAACCAATGAGATTATTATAGAACTTGCTTCATCAGGTTTTGTACAGTAAGATTTCTGTTTTAAGCCATACACAATACAGTAAATACTTAAAAATGTACTTTATTAACTTGCAAGCCGGATGAAGGGGATCTCTGAACTAAACAATAACATCATAATCAAGCAATGTGTGTTTAATGAAGAATCTGAATTGATCAAACAATGTGTTCAGTGCCTGGCCTAATTATGGGCACTTAATTAACATTTTTAAAGAATTCACTGAAAGAATTTAACACCTCATTAACTTTTTAATTTGAGAGAAACTAATTATTCTGCAATTTAGGGGAAATCATCTCTTAGAATACTATGTAGTTCGAGAAGATTATTTGCTGATTTCAAAATGGAGTGATTTTTCAAGGTCCTTCTTTTTTTCCACCCCAAAGAATCCTGTGTCCTTGAACGTAAAACACAGATAACCCCTGTGGTGTTAATTATTGACACATCATCCCATTTTCAGCCTAAGGAAATAATGTAATGGATATATCAACAGAAGGTTACTAGTTAACAGGCATTGCTTGAAAAAAGTATAAAAGAATTTTTGCCGTGGTCTCCAGCATTCTACTTCCAGCACTGCTAAGAACGAAGTAGTTGGGAAAGATGAAGTCGGTGATATCAACGTTTTTACTCCTGCTGCTAAGCTTTGCCGAATCCAGGACACTGCATACCAACGAGTATGGAATAGGTGAGTTCTTCCATCTTTTTCCTTTTCTGTACATCACAGTTTTCAGATTTGCATTTATTCATTTGTACTGATTTCTTTCACTAGACCTAGTGTTCTACACAGAAAAAATTATTCAACAGGTGCATACATATAAACTGAAGACTAACCTGCATGAGGTTTATAGAAGCATAATAGTGCTTACCATAATCAACAAATGGTTCATATGTTCCATGTCTAATTTTTAGACATTATTTGTTCAATTGATAAATTTTGTTTGATATATATATGTCTTAAAAATATGTGTGTGTGTTTGGGTGTACTATGTCACGTGATTTCTGGTTCCTTATGAGTAAAGCTTCCCTCTACAATGGCAAAATAAATAATGCTTATTCTTAAATCAGGAAAACAGGTCCTTGCTTGTCTGCACAAGCATTGAGACTTAGGTATGGATGGCTAAATGTGACATAATTATGTTCAAATGGATGACTAAAATGTATTTTATCCATTTGAATTTCAAGCTAATTACAACATCATAGAAGAGGAGAACTCACACAGTTGGAGACAATCTAGAGTTTAGTCTTGGATTTACTGTAAACTGTTTTAACTGTTTTCCTTTGTATTTCCTAGTCTTCTTAGTTCTAAAATGCTATAGTTTTGACTTAAATACAAGTGCTTCGGTGCAACAATGACTTATTTCCTGGATGCTGCTGAAAACACCATTTTTCATTGCCTTTTAGCTTCCATTCTGGATTCCTTACAGTGTTCTGCAGAGAAGAATCTAGTGGACCTGTAAGTGTTGCATATGCAAATGCATTTTAGCAAAAACAGTGATGGTATTAGTAGATAGTTAAATGAAACTGGATAGCCTTATACATTTTAAAAGCACAAATGCAAGTCAGAAAATTTTAAGAAGTTATCTATACTGAATATCACATTGAGTAAGAGATGCAGAGTAGACTGATGATTTAGATATTGACATCTAAATTCCTCAAAATTCCTTTGTTTTGTAATGTGAACATAGGGTCTCATCAGTCTCTACCATGTATGAATTCAGGAACTCTTTCGACAATACCAATAGGATATTATAATACTTTCTTTTCTGTGTGCTACTTAATTTCGCGTACTATTTAAATCTTCATCATAAGTCATGGGAGGAAAAGCATTCTGGTTTTTGTTATTTGTGGAGAGTATGCCTTTTTCATGAATGTTGTCTTTCCTTTCTGCTTTTCTGAAAATGCCAGTAAGGAATTTAAAAAAAGAAATGTTAATTTCTATTTCAAAGGTAGCATTACACAGATCTAGCGGGAGACAAGGTCTTCCATTTATAGGTTCACTCCCTAAATGATCATACCTACTGGGGCTGTGCCCAATGGAGTCCAAGAGCCAAGACTCCCTGCATCTCCCACAGGGAGGGATTGCAGAGGCTCAAACACTTGGCCCATCTTTGGCTGCTTTCCTAGGCACATTAGCAGGGAGCTGGATCCGAAGTTGAGCAACTGGGTCTTGAACCAGCACCCATCTGGGATGTGCATGGTCATAGATGGTAATTTAACCTGCTAAACAACAGTGCTGGCCCCGCTAGTAAGAGGTTTAAAATAGGGTGCTGCTACAACTTGTTCACAAAGCTGGCATAAGCGCTGCTTTGAGTTGGGGCGTAAGCGTGGTGATTTGGGGTTATACCTTGATCAGGCCAGGAGTCGCAAAGGTAGAGGTCTAACGATCAATTGTGCACTTAGATTTCAAAGAAGCTGTGAAGAATATGCATGCCCATTTGTAGGTGCATTGCAGTGAATGGGTAATCATAAAAAGAGGAGTCACTCTTATGAGAAATTCATTTATTCTTGACTTTTAATAGCTGTTTGTATACTTAGAAAGGATGGAGGTGAGGAAAGACTGAACCTTCTTCCCAGGTGACCAGAATAGTAATTTCACACAAATGTTAGTGGAGGTTGCCCTCCAAGCAGCTTGCAACACAAACAGAAAACACAGCAAATAATACCTACACTTGAGAAAATGGATTGCAAATATCTGATTCTTAGGAAGTTATACACACGCATATCTATTTTTCAGAGCTACCATATCTTTGGCCCAGTTTGTGCCAGAAGCCACTTATGAAGAAGTAAACAAAATGACAAGAGATGTGTTGGCCGTCATTGAGAAAGCCTCTAACAGTGAGCTGCCTGCAGGCTGTTTGGAAAATCAGGTGAGTTGGTCACATACCGCACACACACACACACACACACACACACACACACACCATTGTGTGTTTCACTAAAATTTAATGTGCAAAAAAGAAGCTGTGGGGAAGGCCTTGGAAATATACTTAGATATTTGAAGAGCTGTATGAAAGACAGATTAGATGAATTATGAATTGCTGCAGAGGGTGAGACAGCAATGGTGGGCATCAGACGCACCAAGTAGGGCGTGAAAGCTCAGTTCTGAAACAGAATGATCTGGGCGACTACCAGAGAATCAACCCCGTTGAACTTCAGTTGTCTCATTTATAGCATAAGGATAAAAACAGTTTCCATCTCAGACTTGTAATTGGCATCGACCCAATAATAATAGGAGTAGTAGTTGCTTCTTATTAAGCATCCACTTCACCAACAGCATGGTAGGACATGTTATGCACACATTGATAATGGCAATCTTTTGCAACACAGAGGAGGGCACAGGTCAAAATGATTATTCAGTGAGGCAAAAGATCCCGAGTGCAGCTGTTTAGAGAATATTAGCTTTGCTTGTAATATTAATTTAATAAATCCTTACAAGAATCCTAGGAGGCAGACGGCAATGTTCCAGTTGAGAAAGCTGAGTCCAGAGAGTTTGAGTAACTTTTTTTAAAGGAACCATCCAATGGCATGAAGAAGATTTGGACTGAACCATGTGACTCCAGATCTAATACCCTTAGTGTTACACTGCACTGACCTCTACTTTACAGTGAATGTGAGGTAGGCAGCGCATGGCAGCCGTGCTACACTGAACAAGCAATCAATAGCAATAAAACATGATTGTCAGTTACATCGGAATTTTGGATAAGCAGTTCTTATTTTAGGATAAGCATGTCTCAAAGTAGAAACTCAACAGATAATATTATAGCTGATTATATTTCTATATTGAAAAAAGCCTTTTTAGTAATGAAAATAAACCAGTTCTGGAACAAAATTCTCAACGAATACTCTTTCACAGTGGGTTGATGAAACAGCCAAAGGGGGATGTGACGAGAGCACTGTAAAAAAATTGCCCCCTTAAGATAAGACACTTCCCAACAATCACTTCTGATTCCATAAAAATCCTGGTGCTCAATTTCCTATTTTTGGCTTGTTCTCATAATCTGGAAATTTTGCAGAACACGTCTCTTTCAAGCTTTTTGTCCAGTCTATGTTTATAGTATCATTGTGAACTTAAGGACTACTTAGGATGCAAATTGAGAATTTTACTTAAAATTTACTTAAAACTTCTATGATTCTTCAAATAGTCACCATTACAAAAAGGCAAATAAATGTTATACATTCCTTAGTGGTCTTCTTCAGAATGTTACTGTTACTCACCTCATTTTGGTAGAATCAAGACATCTGTATGTGCAACTAAAAGACAAATCTGTCATTCTGACCAATGGATTGTTTCCATATTTTCTTCCATTTCAAAATCAGTTTTATATTTAGCTGAAAATAATATCCAGTTTTACATGGTTGTCTTGTGTCACAATGAAAGCTAAATCTAAGGGGCATCTATAGCCCGAACATGATTTATACACAAAAGGGAAATTTATATCCTGTGGAAAAAATGTTTATAACAGAAAAGAGAAAAAATAAAATAATTCAACATGAAGTAAGGGAAAGAAGGTACAAAATATTGTATGGATTTTTTTTTTCACTTAAAAATAGAACAGTTATGTGCAGTAGCAGGGAAGTTCTTGGGGCTGGGCGTTGAAATTCTGTTTCTGCAAAGGCAGTAGTGAACGCTAGCCCAGCAGGCTATGTTGGGATCTGTGTGGGGAGTTCCCATGATCTATCATTCTCCCATTGGATAGGTGAAACACTTCCATGTGTGTTCCAGAATCTCTAAGCAAAGTTTAGCATCTTCCAACCAAAATGGAATCTGTCTTCCAGCTGCCTGCCTTCCTGGAAGAAATCTGCCATGAGACAGAGATCTCTGAGAAGTACGGAGTTGCGGAGTGCTGCCGCCAGAGTGGACAAGAGAGACATCGCTGCTTTCTAGCGCACAAGAGGGCCACTGCCACAGCCATCCCGCCCTTCCAGCTTCAAGAGGCCGACGCGGGTTGTAAAGCATACGAGGAGAACCGGGAAGCCTCTGTGAACAGGTCAGGCTATGACTTCAAGGTGCATGGTCATTGCAGAGGGAAAGCAGGACTGAGCAGAACTCAGGATTTCTGCAATTGACACATTCGCTCCCAAGTAAGAAGAGACAGGGACAGTTGTTGATGGTGCACCTGCTGAAGTCAGCAACACAGGAGTTAGCAGTAGCTGTAGGCACAACTTCATTTCCACAGCATGTTAGATGCTGAACAGGCCACGCAGCAGACCCATCAGCTGGTTGTTAGTTTTTGAGATGTACCTTCCCCCCACCCCCCAATCTCTCAATTTCATCTTCCCTAAGCAGATGCTAGAATTACACAAAATGACTCATTCTGAACTAATTCCTCCCCCCCCCCTTGTGTTTGCCAAATTGTTTGCAAAGGAAAAAGGTTGGAGGGATGGGCATTTGACCTCGCAGTTAGTATGCCTACATTCCACTTGGGTAGACTGGGGTTGGCTATTTGGTTTCATTCCTGATTCCAGCAGGTGAGTGAGCTTGAAGTGACAGAGTGCCCTCACCTCTAGATCACTCCACAAAAGGTCACAATAGCCAGGGAGGACAGGGCACACCATCAGCTCTCCCACTCGGTCGCTGTTGCTTGCCAGGACATCCACACAGGAGGAGAGCTACAATCACATCTGGAATTGGAAATGGAGCCCTGAGACTCTGCTGTGGGATGAGGCAGTGTCTTCTCTGGCTAGCTCCTTGAAGGCTTTCATAAGAATTACAGTCAGCCTGTCTGCTATTTTAGTCTCATAATGGACCGATTCTATCTGTCATATTGTTTCTCCTGGAGGACTTTCAGGAAGAAAACTTTTGGAAGCATACAAAACGCAGATGCATTTCATGGTTGTCAATTGATCAACAAATAGCAGAGTGGTGTTCCAACTGTCCATAGTACTGTTTTCGTGTGTTGTACAACATTCTCATCCTATTTCAATCCACAGATACATCTATGAGATATCCAGAAGGCATCCTTTCCTGTATGCACCTACGATTCTTTCTTTGGCTGCTCGCTATGACAAAATAATCCCATCTTGCTGCCAAGCTGAAAATGCTCTGGAATGCTTCCAAACAAAGGTATAGCATCTGGTGGTTATCTGAATTCCTTCTGTGGCCTGCATGACTTGTGAAATCAAACACTATTAAACACGGAACCCTATTTTTGTGGGCAGTGTCAATTTCAGGATTGAGTATAGTGCAGCAGTCTGGAATTATTTGTGTCTACATTGGGGATCTTTCTGGTTTTTCATTCACTCATTCATTTGTTCAGTCAATCAACAATTTTTTTTTCATTGCAATTTAAGAAGTGAGTTGGGTGGGATAAGGAAGGAAAGACAGAAGGTGAAATGACAACGTAAAAGAAAGAAGTGAGGAGTAAAACAGGAGAGAGAGGCAAGAGGAAAGGAACAACGGTAAGGGCTTTATATCCACCAAGTGTTCAAATAGGTTTGAGGAGGTAAATATTAGTTGTCGTTAAACAAACAAGGAAAGTTAGGTTTAAAGTCGTTGCTAGAGTTTTCAGCATCAGAGAGCTTGAATCGTGCTGGAGCAATGAACTGCTTGCCTCTAGAGGTCTTATAACAACAATTTCCTAAGAACTGCTAGGTGTCAGGTTGTACTGCTATCTTACTTCTCTTGTATCCTAGCAGATACTTAAATGAGCAGCAGAGAAGGGTGGAGGAGGAGGATGGGGTGTGGGCAATCGCCTACAGGTGGAGTGTTACCTCTGACAAGGCTAGAAGCTTAAGAGGATACATGTGGAACATGACCAGTAGTTAAGGGAGATCGACGCGTCTTGTAGCCAATTGCACTGTGTTTGGTGGGCGAGGGCTCTGCCGGAAGACGCCCCCCTGCCTGCCCCTTCTTAAAAGCTGTAACCTATGCCTAACAAGGCAGATATTCCTCATTGGTTTGTCTCCAGTGGTTCCCCGGCCGAGGGACACCGTGGCCTCACCCTCGGTGATGTTGGGCCTGTTGGCAGGGCTGAACCCCAAGAACGGGGCAAGCATTGGGCACGGCAGTTAAGAGGCCCTTTGGGAGGTTTGCATCCCAGTGTGCCTGGACTTGAGTTTGAGCTCCATTTCTGAGCTACCTTCCTCGTTATGCACACGTGAGAGGGGATTATTCCAGGACACCCTGCCCACGACGTGGGAGACCTGGGTGGAGTTTCAGCTTTGCTCAGTCCTGACTGCTCTGGGCAACTAGGGGGAAAACTTTCTTGTTTTTTCTCCTTCCATCACTCTACCTTTCAAATAAATGAAACTTAAAAATAAGAAATAAACAGGACTCAACCTGTCTTACAGCTGTTGGAAAGTATGCTTGCTTAGTTGTGATTTGCAGTAGGAAAGTTACAATGTTTGCATTCCAAGATATCTTTAATAAATTTGTCTGGCACAGATGCATAGAAATGAATCTAAAAAATATGAAAGAATGAATAATATTGTGGGAAAATGTATGCTGTTTATAAAGTTTAGCAAAAGGTATTTCATGATCTCAGGTGTTAGCTGTATCAGCTGCTGTTTTAATCAAAGTTTAAAGTTTATAATTAATTTTTGCAAACAAATACGTGGTTTCTTGACCTCTTGTCTATTCTCCATCTAGGCAGCACCAATTACAAAAGAATTGAGAGAAGTCAGCTTGTTAAATCAACATGTTTGTGCAGTAATGAGAAATTTTGAACCCCTCACCTTTCAAGCTGTGTAAGTTGGAGCTCTGACTGGGAAAGAAATGAGATTTGTTTAACTATCCCTTCGAATTTAGGTTCTTACGTCTCATGGTCACTGTCGTACAGAATGTAATGTTATTTGAAATCACACACTCGTAGCTAACAGATTGGTCTGCTGTGTAAACCTTACTAAACCCCAGCTGAGATAATACTTGGAGAAGTATGTTGAAGCTTACACTGTTAATCTCTTCTGCCAGACGCTCTTCAAGTTCTGGCTCAGAGTCAAACTATACCTCAGCCATAGACCGTATGTCTTTAGCCACTCTACAAAGTAGGTCAGTCTCTGCTGAGTATCATTGAAAATTTCTGGCTTACAAGACATGCTTTGTATTAACTTCGCTTCCTAATCTGCTTGAAGGACTCTTATGTCAATTGTTGCTTCCTGCGGAAATATTCTCTTGAGTTAGTATTATTGGAATGTGGTGTTAGGAGCAAAGAGAGTTGGAAACTTTCTAACTGCTTTAACGTTCTCTTCAACCCTTCTACAAAGAAATATTTCTGGTTTAGGAAAATATCTGAGCTGCTAAAATCAAAGAGCAGTAAGAATGTGCTTTCAGAGTTTGTTTACTTTTTTTGTTTTGTTAAGTTATATGTTAAAAAATGCTGTTCATAGTTGAAGGCCTTGACTAAAGTTTTTAATCATGACCTTAGTTCCTGAGACAGACTTAAATTTCATCTTGGGTAAAGTCAGATCCATCTTTTTTTTACCAGTTTCCAATTCTATTGGAGATTTAAAAATGGATTTTGTAAGCTTCCTTACTTAAATATTAGTAATCAAGTAGAAATTGAGAATTTTTTTTATCGTAGTGAGGTTATCATATGGTATCCAAAAGTGAATAAAATGCTGTAATTGATAAAGAAAATCCATCTTCGTCAGTAAAATCACCAATACTAATTACTATAGTGGGTGGTTGCTTCACACAGTTCTTAAAATGTAACAAATAGAAGGAATGGGAATTTGTGTTTCTAGCCTCCCTTTTTGGCATGGTGACATGTCTGATGGGCTCCCGCTACTCATCTTTCTTCTCCCATCTCATGGGCGTGCACATAGGCACCCCCTCCTTGGGGTCTCAGAAGTATTTTTTTTCTCTCAAGTGAACAGTGACTGTCATTCTAATGGAATTTTCCATTCCGTAATTGTTTAGCCTTTTGCATCCACTCCCTTCCAGTGATGTGCATATGCATGTCATCAGGGATGAGCAGCAAAAAGACAGACTCCATCTCACCCCAGGGAGGGTTCTAGCAGAAGACCCGCAAACTGTTTGGGCTTCAGAGTCACAGTGTGAGGCCCGGAGAGCCTTGGTGGGAACTGACAGGACTTCAGGACACATCAGCTTTCCTTTTTAAACAACAAGGGCATTTCGGATCTGGTCATGTCTCTAAGCATGCTCACACTCTATAGATGCTGCTTTGTTTTGATAGATACAATTGATTTCTATTTCCTTTCCGCCCCCCAGGACTGTTACTAAGCTGAGTCAGAAGTTTCCCAAGGCGAATTTCACTGAGATTCAGAAATTGGTCATGGATGTGGTCCACATCCACCAGCAGTGTTGTCAAGGAAACGTGGTGGAGTGCCTGGAGGATGGGGTAAGAAGTCAGGCTTCTAGTTTGGTTCTCTCTTCTTTCTTTTTGTCTCCATTCTGTAAGAGAGAAGGCGATTGGAGCTCATCATGGGATATGGTAACTAGGTAACCAAGAGGCAGTACTGAGTTTTTGACGAGAAACCCAAGCCATATTTTGCTGAGCCAGGCTCGTATCCTTGAGACCATTCCCACCCTTTTGTGAGACCGGAGCCTCCCAGTTCTTCTTCTTTTTTCTTAAAACATTTATGTGTTCATGTTGAAAGGCAGAGTTATACACACACTGAGAAAGAGAGAGAGAGAGAGAGAGAGAGAGAGAGAGAAAGTTATCGCATCTACTGGTTCACTTCCCCTCAAATGGCCACAAACATTAGGGTTGTAAGACAGGAGCTTCATCTGAGTTTCCTATGTAGGTGGCAGAGGCCCACGCACTTGGACCACCCTCTTCGGCCTTCCCAGGCACTGCAGGAAAGGGCTGCACTGACTAGACAGAGCAGCCAGAACTCAAATGAGTGCTCACATATTAATAGTGATTTCAAACTGTGTGCCACAAGGCTGGCTCCCCAATTCTTCCGAGGAAGACAGTAACGTCTCAGGAGGCTTCCACGTAGAGTCTTGGATGTCAGACTGTCCTTTCTAAAAGAGGGGTGGAGAGACCAAGAGACTGAGGTTGTCTACCTGCTAACACACTTTTCCAAATGCCTGCAACAGTCAGGGTTGGCCAGGCTGAACCCAGGAGCCCACAGCTCTCTGTCTGTGTCTGCCTTGAGTGTGGAGAGAATGCAAGTCATTAGGCCATCACCTGATCTCTGTAGGTACTTTAGCAGGGATCTGGAACAGATACGCAGGTGGATTCCAGCCTTAGGCTTTGAGTTGGGATGTGGGTGACTCCTGTGGAGGCTTAACCCTCTGAACCGCAGCACCTGCCTCTTGACTCCTTTTAACGTATTTGGGTTTTACATCTATTTAAACTATAAATAGGTGGATGTATAGTGAGTATTCCTATCTGCTAGCCACAGGGAGAAGCACCTGCTATGGTGAACCTCAAGCAATTTATGAACTGAAAGACGAGATATGCCAGTGGTCTCCTTGAGGTTAGGGACTATCATTTGTTGGCCGCTATCTCTATACGACTATGCCTAGCACCCCATTGATGTTTTCAGTTTGTTGGATAAACCAAGACCACAAAATAACACAAGAAACTGTCCCAAGTGCTAAAAAGCTAGCTGTGCTAAAAAGATGCTGCAGTTAAGGGCTCTGGAAGCATCAGAAAAACGGAGCAAAAACCGCCCAGTGGAAAAATTAAGTTCACTGTGATTTGCTGGGTGGATGTGCGTAGCTGAGAAATGTGTGCTAGTTGTTGGCTCAGAGCGACACGTTTTCAGTCCCGTGGTCTGTATCTGCAACGCCTGCCCCTTTCTGGCTGTCACCAACACTGCCGAATCATTGTCTACACACTGCCCTCTGGAGGCCATCGTGGGTCGGTGCAGTTTGTTCTGATACACGGCGAGTTTGCTTTGTACCAGGGTGTCCTTGGCAAATCGGAGGTAGCATATTTGCTTAATAGGAAGATCTACAGCAGTTATATGGAATTGAAGAGCGCATGTTCTTAAGGGTTCCCATTAAAATAAAATAATACAATATAGTTGGTAATTGTCAAAAGATTGAACAGATAATTGAAAAAAAAAAGGTGGAGCTCTGATGTGGAAGACAGGTCAAATATCTTACTTTCTTCCTTTTCCTCTCCTGCTTTTATTCTGTTTTTCTGCTCCTTCCCTTTTCCTCCCTCTCCATATCCTCCCCTTCTTCCTGCTCTCTTTCCTAGGACTGGTCCTGAAGCTCTTCGTGAAAGAATTATATGCTCTTGTTTTTCCCATTACAGAAAAGAATCATGTCCTACATATGCTCTCAACAACACATCTTATCAAGCAGAATGGCGGAATGCTGCCGACTGCCCATCCTTGAGCTTGGCCACTGTGTCATTCATGCAGAGAACGACGACAAGCCTGAAGGTCTCTCTCCAAATCTAAGCGGGCTGTTAGGGGACCGAGATTTCAACCAATTTTCCTCACAGGAGAAAAGCATCTTCTTGGCGAGGTAAGACTTCTGTAACGGTGTGCTCGCGTGGGCAAGGCCTGTGGTGTTGCTGACAGCTGCGTGCGGCTGAACTGGTGTTTGCGCTCAGTGTGCGAAGACATTCGGCTGGAGTGCTTTGAGCCGAAAGAGGCTTAAGCTCAGGACTCAGGACTGGAAGATGGAGTCTTATAAAGGTGCAAGGAGCTAGTTTGTATATGACCTTTGATTTGATCTGATAGGAATGCCTCTGGGTCAGAGACTGTCGTTCTGTAAGGATGACTCACGTGGAAGCCATCATTGGACTTCCAAATTAGATGTGGATGTTTCTGTAATAAGGAGGGCTCAGAATTCAGGAAATATGCTCTTGTTATCATAGGTTGAAAACAAATTTTTCCCCTCAGATTGCAACTCAACATATAGTGCTAGACGGCAGCTCTAGCTTCCTTGAATTGGCAGAGCATATTGGCTATTTATTGAATACACACTTTATGAATTTTAAAGAATATCAAAGCATACTCATAGACATTTCCTTGCAGTAGCTTGTTGTAATGAACAGGCTTTTAAAGAAAGCCTCAAGTAACTCTATTTTCCTCTACTATACTATACGTATCCATGGACAGTATTAGAGGAGTGATTTTTGCAGCTCCTTGGACATTATACGTAATGATTTCCAAGGTTCTTTCTAAATTTATCAGTCCTATTTTGATTCAGTGATGAGAATAATGATCCAATTTTGTCTTTAATATTCTTTGAGGATATTACTCTATCGTTGCATTAAAATTAGTCATTCACACATTGTTTGTGTTGCCACAATGAAATGATTTAAACTAGTTCAAAGTCCAGTTTAAGAAAGACATTATAACTTTATTGCTGGGAGAACCATATACAAGTGGTTTCTACAACCTGGGAATTATAATTTCCCTATATACCTCAAGCTAAATGTTTTCCAGAGGCGAACACGGGGATCTTCACAGTAAGCTTTTTGTCTGGAGAAAACCACTTTCTCCAACACAGACACCTGCCCAGTGTCCTTGATTCAGATATCTGCTGTGGTATCAACTTTCCAGGGAGACTTTTTCCTTATCTAAGTGTTAAACTGATGGCTCTGCTCCCTCCACGCGTCACCCCTTTCTCTTTCTTCCTTCTTCCTTTCGTTTTGTTGATTTATACCTCCCTGGAATAGATGGCCTAGTTTTTGCTCGCTGTGTCTGCCTACCCATGATGCTTGCATTTCAGGAGACAGGCATTATTTCTTGACACATGGTTGACTCCTCACTGCTTAAAGCAAGGCTGGCAGAGAGCAGGCACTAAAAACAAAATATTTGTTGCATGAATGAAGGTGAAGTCCATAGCAGAAAAGCCATAGTGAGCTGCAAAAGAAAAAAAAAATGCATTTTATAGCAGAATTTTGGAATTGTAATTTGTAGTAGTCAACTTGCCGTTCATGTATACCATGTTCTACAGGAATATCAGAGAAGCAAAGATTCATTTTGCCTCTTAGTTCCAATAGCTTCTGCCATTTCCCCCGCATGTTTCAGTTTTGTGTATGAGTATTCGAGAAGACACCCTGAGCTGCCCGTCACAGTTGTGCTGAGAACTGCCAAGGGGTACCAAGAGCAGCTGGAGAAGTGTGCCCAGGATGAGAGCCCTCTGGCATGTCAGAATAAAGGGGTGAGTCACATCGGAATTTTGGGAAGAACCTAGAGTATTTGTTTGAAAACTTCCAGCTGTTAGGTAATAGTTGGCTGGTTATACCTAGTTATCTAGATATTAAGTAGTCACACTTGGGATATGTGTGTCAAACAAAAGAATTCCTTGATATATAGAATATTCATTTTTGGCCAGCTTCAGGAAGGCAAGAGTTTTATACACAGCTAAAACCTTGCATCCAAACATTGAGCTCTGCCAACTGATAGCTTTGTGATTTAGAAACTCCACTGGATTTAATTCGCTAAACTCATATTTTATCATCTCTAGTAATAGAAGATTGATTTCCTGATGGAATAAAATAGTGGTCAATTTTTATGTGCAATGTTGTAAGCAATGCTAGGTTCTAGAAGCAAATGTCTACATTAATGTTTATATTTTCAGGAAGAGGAATTACAGAAACACATCCAGGAGAGCCGAGAAGTGGTAAAGCGCAGCTGTGACCTCTACCAGAACGTGGGACATTATTACTTTCAAAATGCGTACGTCTCTGTGTATCTTAAGTGTTTGAAGAATGGCCCGTGGCTACTCGCATTTCAATTTCTGTTTCAGATTGGGACACAGTGTAATCTAATCTCTCAGTTTCCCCCAAGAGAAGGTAGCCTATCCTAGTTCCTTCATTTGTGGAGCAACAGGAATAGGCAGGGATGTCTGATCTGTTAACCATGGCGTTAAGTCCCCAAAACCGCAGCAAATTTTGCCTAAACATAGCCATCTGAGTCTGTCCTTACGAGAACAGCAGAAGCTCCGGGACTGCCACTAGGGGTCAGCCTTGTGCCCAAAGGCTGCAATTGGCCATATTGGAATACTGAGACAGCACAGGAAACACTTGTTAAGGCATCTCAAAATGTGGTCCAAAAACTTTTGTCTTTTGACATCAGAAGAGGATCTTCGAGAAGGTGTAGCACCTCCCCCAAACTCAGGGATACTGCAGGAGGACTTGATTAAAAAAAAAATGCTTCTTTCAGATTCCTTGTGGCCTACACAAAGAAGGCTCCTCAGCTGACCTCAGCGGAGCTCATAGCCTTCACCAAGAAGGTGGTGACCAAAGCGGCCATGTGCTGCCACCTGAGTGAGGACAAACGACTGGCTTGTACTGAGACAATGGTGAGTGGCCGTCCAGGTTCATCCGCTTTTTGTGCTGCTTGACTTGATAACGCCTCATGGTTCCCACAGAGGGTGGATGGTAAAAACCAGCGTGGAGATGGCTTTCCTGGGTTAGTGGAATTAGTTCTAGTTAGAAAGGAGGTGAGAACTTAATTTTGAATGATTGGCCTGTGCTCAGACTCTCAGTCCAGAGTGGCGGGTGGAAGGACAGCCCGGCTGTTCAGGAGAACCTGAGGGAGCTCCAGGTGCAGCAGGCAGACAGTGACCAACAATTGCTATTTATGATGCCTTGCCTTGCTTTTGTGTCGCCAATAATGTTAAAAAAGGAACAGCTTTACTTTTGAAAGATTAAAGTTTGACATTTTTTTAGTCTTTTTTTTTTTCCCTTTTTAGTATAATTTTAATGTGGTTCCTATAATAGGGACAGTTTTTTCTCCCTGTTGACAAGTTATAAGGCCCATGACATGCCGAGCCTGGAAAACGACTTTCTGGTTGCTGACGCCAATATTCTTTCAGTTCCTAATACTTCTTGTTACAGACTTGACCACTGGTTAACTTTTTGCTCCTTAATTTTGCGCCTTAGAGTCACAACTGCAAACACAATGATCTCTCTGCTTCTCCCCCGGACTCCCGTCTTACCACCCCGGCCTGTTTCTTTGCTTCACTGAGAGGAGCGATTTGCTAGTTGGTCTTGATGCTCTGAGATTGTTCCCTGGGAACTGTGGAAGGATGCTCTCCTGTGGGTGTGCATTTCTGTAGGTGGCTGCTGGAGTCTCCCGGGGGGAGCTGCAGGTGACAGGAAGGACACATGGCCCAGCAATGCAGGCTCTGGAGACCTCCTGCCTTCCTTCTCATCCCACTTTCCCCGTATGCTAGTCACGTCACACTGGGGCACTGACCCAGAACACAAAGCTTGAGCTTTTAGTTTGACATTTGAGCATACAATGTCTTTGCTGGGTCTGCGTAGTTCATGAGATAGAAATCCTGACCCACACCATGCGCACAGAACTCACCAGCCCTCATTACAGGCTGCCATTAGGCACTTCCGAGGTAGCTCTGAAGTGTGCAGTGGAGAATTGGACGCTAGGAGAGCCTCATGATCACACCTCAATTAGCACCATGGATCAGCCATTAGAATGGGGGTTATGCTTGTCTTACCTTCAGAAAATAAGTCTTTCCATCTCAAAAGTAAAGCTCAACTAGAATTACTTGGACAGTGTAAGACAATGTTAAACACATACTAGTTTTTGTAGGTCAGAGCCATTTTCCTCTTCAGAAGCAGTTCTAAAACAGGAAGCATACTACATTATACAAGGAGCTGAAGGGACCCTCCTCGACATCACAATTGTAGAACGTGTCACAAAATGCTCGGGTTCATCTTAAACAGATGAGTGAACACTGGAATCTGTGATTTGGCAGTAATACTTCTACACAGACAGTTAATTTTCCTGTAGCAGTAGTTGTAAATTGCTGGACACTGGTAATTTTTGCAGGAGTTTTCTGGAAACCTGAAAGACTTGGTGATGAGTGCCCATTCATTCCTGTTGTCTTCTTGTCCTCTTCCCAGGCTGACCTTGTTCTTGGCCAGTTATGTATCAGACACGAGGCAACACCTCTGAACCCTGGGATCGGCCACTGCTGCACGTCTTCCTACGCCAACAGGGCACTGTGCTTCCACAAGCTGGTGCTGGATGAAACCTATGTCCCTCCGCCATTCTCTGCGGACAAGTTTGTCTTCCACAAGGATCTGTGCCAAGCTCAGGGAACAGCGCTGCAAACCATGAAGCAAGAGTAAGAAATTATCACTTGCTGTGTTGGGGAGATGCTTACCATAGACAGTGGGGTTTTCTGCCTCAGCCACGGAGTATTTGTGGACTCCTTGATGGAACATTATGAGCTCCAAAGCGTCCAGTCTCACTTGGAAAAGAAGTCGGAAAAAATCCACGAGGGCAGACAATTTCCTGTTTGTGAAAGTAACTTTCATTGTCATTCTTGCAGTGACACCTTTGGGAGAGGGGGAGCAAAGAAAATGGGCAAATTTGAGGTAGAGGGCATTAGGGAGTGTATTTACATTAAGTCTGTGCACTTGCATCCCCCGAATACAAAGCATACGCCATCAGTCATCTTTGGCACTAGTTATGCTTTGAAGAGAATAATTATAACATGTTATTCATACGATACGGTGTTAAAAAGTGACACCTAGATCCCGATTCACTTTGGGGGCGTCCTGCAACAGTAACAGCAGTGTGAGTCAGTGGAACTTGACGTTCCTAAAGCACCACGCTTGGTTCTCACTGGCTCTCTCCGTAGCTTCCCTTCCATGGGAAACCCGTTCTTTCCTTTCCATCGCTGCCTGAGGCAAACTTCAGGGTGTGAGGTTGCCTTGTTGCCTCTACGCAGTTGAGCTCTGAGTTTGAAGGGCTCCTAAGGAACCGGGGCGTTGTGCTGCTGGGGCTCAAGGACAGCTGTGATCATGGTGACTGCAGGAACTGGGCAAAAGACATGTTAGAAGAAAGAGTAACAAAGGATATTCTAGATCACAAGGAAAAAAAGAAGTCACACTTGACTATGCGGAAGTGTGGCAGAAGTGAGATGCTAGTCTCCATCTAGAAGCTGCCCGATGGAGAGCAGCAGGGTGCCGTGCCTCCCGCCTGCGTTTCTGGGGACTGTGTGTGCATACGCCCAGGTGTGGGGTGAGGCAGTGGGAATTGCTAGGGCTTTGCACACTCCCTACCAGGAAGCTTCTTGGCAAAACTGCCTTTGCTAGTGCTGCGTTTGGCTTTCTGTCCTAGGTTCCTCGTTAACCTGGTCAAGCAGAAGCTGGAGATCACGCAGCAGCAGCTGGATGGCGTCACGGAGGATTTCTCGGAGATGCTGAAGAAGTGCTGCCAAGGCCAGGAGCAGGAGGCCTGCTTGGCCCAGGAGGTGCGTGCAGCCCGCGCCTCCTCTCGGGACACTCAGAGAGCATGCGCTCAGCTAAAGATGGAGGGGTTGTGGGAGATATAAAAAAAAATGACAAATTTCTCTTAAGTATTAGGGGAAATTATACTTGTAAGGTATATTAAGAGTATGAGTACTTTTGTTTTATTCATTAGCAGAAAAAGCTGTAAATACATAGATAACTGATGGTGATTTAGACAGTTTCTGGCCTAAGATTTATCATTCCAGCCGAACTCCTGGAAAGGATTCTATAGGAAATTGTGTGGACAGGATACTGGGAGGCAATTATAGAATCCTGTATATACTCAGTTTTTATAATGGGATGTTTGATATTTGTGTACAATCGTACTAATTGGTTATCTATTAGAAATTTTTACTTTACATTACTAAATGTGTTCAAATATAGCATCATTATGTTTTAAAATCACATCCTATATGCTTTTTGTAAACCTTATCATTATCACATAATGCTAAAGTTTGGAAATTTTGACTTATGCAAACTGCAAATGTAGATTCTATCTAGAAATGTACAGTTTGTCTGTAAGTGACATAATTCAACGGCTGTGGCTGGGCCAGGCGGAAGAGGGGCTGGAAACTCCAGGCAGGACGCCCTTGTGGGTGTCAGGGGCCAGTCACTTCAGCCGCCCCGCTGCCTCCCAGCGTCTGCGTTAACAGGAAGTTCGAGTCCGTAACCAGCCCTGGGAGTAAAACCCAAGCCCTCCAGTGTGGAATGGAGGCCAGGCTACACACTTACTCCTGCATGGATTTTCCGTAATACAGAAAGATGGGTTTCCTTTGATTTATGAAGACATTTGATGTAGAGACCATTAGCAAACAGCACTAGTGTGTTTTGGCACATCGTTTGCTTTCCGCTGTCTAGTGATTTATGGCAGAAGGGGTAATATGACGTAAGAATGAGAAAGGATTCAGAGATTGATTTAGGAAAAAACCCTACTGCTGCTGTGAGTGGATTATTTTTCCTCTCTGATTTCCAGTGTCCCAGCTTATTGGTCTCCAAGGTGTATATTTTTCATTGTTTAATATTACAAATTGTGTATCTACAAATACGTGAATTGATCCTGTTTTGTGGAGTTCACTGTGTGACTGGCATGATTATCCATTCCTTTATCTAATCGCTTTTTATTTGTTCTTAATTTTTAGGGTCCGAAGCTGATTTCGAAGACTCGTGCTGCTTTAGGAGTTTAAAATGCTTCAGGTAACAAAAATTCAATGAGACAGAATTTAGTGTTAGCTCCTCCCAAGTATTAACCCACAGTGATTCAGATTCTGAGAAGTACCATTAATTTTCTTAAACATCAATATAATTGCATCAAAAGCTTATTTAAAAAACACTGAGGTGAGATTATACTCACTATTCAAATTAGTGATTCAATTAATGCAAACTTCTTTGAAGGTATTTTAAAGGCCTTAAGGAATGGTATCGAATCTGCTGACTCTTACACGTCCCTTATTTCAAACAAGACAACCAGGGATCTTCCGCATCTATTTATTACATTTTCACTCAGAATATTTTTGTTCATGTTACAGGAGAAGAGAAGAAGAAAAAAAGTCCCTTCATTGTGCTGTGTGAATGGCTTTCATGACAACTTTTGTGAATTAAAGAAATGATTACTCTGTAAGATTTCCCCCTGTGTCACTGAAATAAAATGTCTTCAAATGTTTACTTTTTCCTAGTCTACTTATTTATGAAATCCTGTAGATGTTTTTAAACAAAGTGCTGTAAACTGTTCCCTGGAGCAGATTCTGCTCAAAAACAAAAGTGTCGCATATTGGTCATCTTAAGGGATAAGGCCACCCAAGCATAGCTCTGTGCGCCTGGATCCTAGTTCAGCACTGTTTCATGCTGCCTAGGCACGTTGTTTGCTACAAGGCATTTAAATATCCTAAACTAGTCCTGGGATGAGGGAAGAAATTCTTATGTTCCTGTAAAATCCAGGAAAATAGAACCCTTTTCCACAAACTCGTTCAGTTTTTATTAACAGACATTTTAAAAGATACAGTAGAATCTATTCTGATACAGTAGAAGCTAATCTGATAAAATGCAATCAACATTTCCTTCAATTAATTTCTTATTCCTTTTGAATGTAACTACTGCTTTCTAGTTGCTTCAGGAGAGAAGAAAGCAACTACGCAGCAATGGTACAGGGCTAGGAGCATCGTAGCAGCAACATCAAACCGCTCAGCAGATCAAAGGCTGCAAGAGGTCAGGTCTGGCTGCAGAAAGAGCCACGAACATCTAGGAAGGGCAGTAGAAGATGAGCAGGCATTCGTCAGTTCCAGTAAAGGAAAACACTATTTCATGAAGGAGGAGAATGTAGCCAGAGGCGTGTCAAGGCATGATGAATGGTTTTAGGAGAATACTGTGTGGGTAGGAAGGGAATGGTTTCCGGTCACAGAACTGAAAAAAAAAAACCACATTGCTGTCGCACTTGATAGCACTTCCCCTTCCCCACCCCCCTGGATCCACAATGACTACAGTGGGTATAGAAAGCTGAGGTGGACCGAGAGCTTTCCGAGCACTTCTGGAGGCTTTCTAGGAAGCCCACCCTGCTCCAGCTCATGAGGAGCACCTGTGGCTGCTGATAAACTAACTGCATTTCTAGACTTGCCCCAGCATTCAGAGGGGACCTGTGCTTCCATGGAACAGGTCTGTCTCTCTGTACATCACTGCCAGGCTCAGGCATCCCTACAGTTTGGCTGGGTCCAGGGTGACCCACACTGGTAGCATCCTTTTCCAGTCTTGGGCAGAAAATGTCAGATAATTGTTTCTTGGGACTCAGAATTGGATTGGTAAAGCCCAGCACTGGGCGGATAATAATGGATCTTGGCTTTGGAATGGGAACTCCGTACTTGCTCCAAAATGAAGCTGAGACCTGAATCCTGCTGGGATGGGCTAGTTTGAGCATGTATTACCACCCATTTCACATATGCACTGTTAAGATTTCACAGACCAATGACTGGGAAACCCATGTGTGACTACCTGTTGTGTCCTGAGAAGCCCAGGGTCTACCTCTATCACTCCTCCTGCTACCCTGAGTAGACAGTAAGAACTTCAGGACTGTTTTTGAGCTAGGTGCAAAGTTGGTAGAAGTCAATGTTGAACAAATCCAAATGGTCTTTGTCCCAAGACTAGTGGGTCTGAGCAGAGTCCCTGGACTGGCTTTAGTGCCAAGTGAAGTTCAGCCCTGTTGTCCTTATACCCCTGTTAGCATCATCAGTGGTTGGCAGGTGCAACCTCATGGGTCTGCCTCAGTAGCAGACAGCTGATGGTAGTGTGGGCTTTGCTCCTGTATCCAGGATACAATTGTCTTAGTGGGCTATAGATTTCAAATGTGATCTAGTATTGTGGTATTGGTGGACCAGGAGTCTGAGCTTACGCTCATCCAAGGAAAAGACCAATAGGGACAGATAATCTCTTTTAAAATACTTCCACAATTCATCTGAATAGCACACCCACTGTGGTGGGCAAATTGGAGCTTGGGGATATTTGAAAAATGTGGAGTTCATGTGGGGTCTTCTCTGAAAAGATCATAATGAAACTAGGAATCAACAACAAGAAAAACATTAAAAATGAGATAAAGACATGGAAATTAAATAATTTATTCCTGGATAATCAATGGGTCAAGGAAAAATTAAGGAGAAAATTTTAAAATGTCCTCAAACAACACGAAAGTGACAACCATCTGATACCAACGCAGCCTAGAGCAGAAGTACTAACCAGGAAGTTCACAGCAATCAATGTTTGCATCAAAAAGCAGGATTTCAAATAAACTACTTACTACTGAGCCTAAGCAATTAAAAAAGTAAAAACAAATTAAGTGCATCGCCAATGGAAGAAAAAAATAACAAAACTCAGAGCATACATAAATGAGATCAAAATGAAAAAAAATTTAAAAAAATCAATATAACAGAACTAGCTCTTTGTCACAAATACAAGCAAAATTGAAAAATCCATAGATTTTTCCATAGAAAAAAAGATAACATTCAAATACATAAAATCAGAAATGAAAACAGATCCGGTACTACTGGATACTGTTAAATTCAAAGGATTGTTAAGAATACTATCAGCGAGCCCAGAGGCATGGCCTAGTGGCTAAAGTCCTCACCTTGAACGCTCCAGGATCCCATACGGCCACTGGTTCTAATCCCGGCAGCTCCACTTCCCATCCAGCTCCCTGCTTGTGGCCTGGGAAAGCAGTCTAGGACAGCCCAAGGCCTTGGGACCCTGCACCCGTGTGGGAGACCTAGAGGAGACCAGGTCCCTCAGGGTTCCCCCAAGCCTGGGGCTCACAGATTCTACACCCACCAGATAGATTGGCCCAAGGACCTGGGCCAGGAGATCCAGGGCTTACTGACCCAACACCCATCATGTAGGTGGGCCCTAGAACCTGGGCCAGGAGACCCAATGGCCCTCCAGGCCCTCTACCCCTGTGGCTCACAGACCAGGCACCCACCACCTCCAGACTGACATGGCTCATCTTTCCTTGGCATCCACCACTGGGTACTTCAGCTGCAGAGTCAGCCCCTTGTCCTGGCTCGTGATGTGACCCAAATCAGCCCCTCCTGCACCCCATCCTGGTTTTTGGATCTGCCGGTAGATGTTATGAACTGGTCTGACATGGTCCATCTCCTGACCTGACCCATATGTATGTCGGGTACTGTAACCCGTTCTGGTTTGGGCTGCTCCTTGTCTTGGTTCTTGCACTTACCTGCACACATTGCAGCCCGACAAACTCCTCTATTTGGTCTCCTCCCAGTGGCAGATCTTGCACATACCAGTGCGATCTTGGTCCAGGCTAACTTTGTCTACCTGTTGTTTTGGTAGGGACAGTGTCCATGTGTCCATGCCCAAATGCCCCATACTCTTTCAGGTTCTTATTGTTGGGTGTTTCAGCTCATCCACACCTGGTCCATACCCAGACACAGTTCTCACATGATTCTGTGGGAGCTGAGACCTAGTCAGCGTGTTCTACACCCAGCCTGACTCTCATGAGTACCAGTGGGTGCTAGAGTTTAGCCCAGTCTGGCCCTCCCCAGTTGCAGGCCTCACCCGTGCCGAAGGAAATTGAAACCATGTCCAGTCCAGGACAATGCACCAGTTCTTGCACCAGCATTTACCAATGGGAATTCCAAACCAGCCAGGGTGTCCCCTTTGTTCCCCAACCAGGCCCATTACCAGCCACAGTAAATGTATGTGCCAATGGAGATTGCTGTTCCACATTGGTGAGCCCACATATTGCCCTGCAGATTCTACTCCCAGACCTGATTCACTCACGTATTTGTTGACTTCATGGTCCAGCCTCACAGAATCTGTATGCTTTTCTGACACTGGTGGGTTCCATGTTGTAGTCCTTCAAGTTAAATGACCTTGTGTATGAAACTTCCAGAGAAGCCATTTCTTACCTGGACCTGAACCCTAAGGTCCTTTCTGATTCCCACCTGTGCCATCTCTCAGACTCCTTGTTAGCTCCTCAAGGTCCCAGAGCACATTGCCAGGTGGCCCGCATGGCTGGGAGAATTGAGCACCCAGACCTCCAGACTTACCTGGGCTGCCCCCATCAGGATTAATGATACATCATTTTAACAGAACAAAAGACAGTAAGGGAGGACAATTGTGAGGGATGATTCGAACATCCCATCTTGGACCTGGGGCCACTTCCTGTTTCTCCTTTCCCACAGCTCACAAAATTTGTGCCGTTCTGGTTACCCACCAGTGAGATGTAACCTCATGTCTTACCTGAGAACCTCACCTACTGTTCTCTCACGGCGCCTCCCCCGATCCTCGCCCACCCAACAATCAACTGTGAACATCTCAGTCACCAGTCCCTGTGGGCCCACCCACAGCCCCTCTCTACCAATTTCCCACGCCCCAACACCTTGCAGGCGCACCTGCAGGTGTGCCCTCTTCCCATCCCTCTTTACCTGGCTCTCCCCCTTCTTCCTCTTGCCCCCTTCCCTGGCCCTGGCAGCCCCCATCCTGCCACCATGGCAAAGGACGTGTGTTCTCATCCCTTCTGCTCCCCCTCCTGTTCCTACCCTGCTGGAATAAAGGACCTCCTAAGCACCTTGCTGCATCTGGAATTTTGGCTTGTGGTAAATTAATAGTGAAAAGAGGACTTGGCTGTAAAGATTAGCTGTGTGTAAGAACTTTAAGTGCACATAAAACTTAACAACAATAATCTTAGGATAATCTCAAATGAAAAGGCATTTGATAAAATTAATGACAAAAATACCCTGAACAAATTAGGTATAGAAATAATGTTCCTCAAATGTTTCGCTGTTGGATTTGACTAATACCGGGTTTTGTCTGTGTAGTCTTGTCTTTATCTTAATGCTTTCTGGAAGGGAACTTGGTATCCAAATAAAGTATGTAACGTCATTGTACTTTAAGGGCATAATATGTAGAGCTGAATTTATTCTGAAAATCTAATAATTATAAAAAGAAATGCACATTTATAAAATTATATAAAAGAAATTAGGCTTGTGATGGAATTTTTACCAAAAAAAAAAAAAAAGGAAAGAAAAGGAAGGAAGAAAGGGAGAAAGGAAGGAAGAAGAGAAAATGAAAGAGAGACCTCAACAGAATACAGGCCATGCAAGGCCAGCTGAAAAGCGAAGATTATAATGTCTGGAAAAGAACTGAAGGCTTTCTTTCCTAAATCTGCAAGACAAGAACACCCAATTTCCATCCCTTTTATTCAACATAGTATTGGAAGTTCTAGCCAGAGCATATTAGGTAAGAGGAAGAATAAAGAACATTCAAATCAGAAAGAAGGAAGTCATAATTGCTTGCAGATGACATGACATTACAAAAAAAAAAAAACCACTCAAGACTTCCAAAAAACTTTTTGAACTAATAAATTCAACCAAATTACAGAATAAGAAGTTGATGTGCAAAGAAATCAGGAAAGCGATTCTAGTTCTAGTCATCAAAAACAAACAGAACAAAATAAACTACAGGAATACATTTCATGTAAGAGGTCAAAGAGTTCTACAGGGGAAATGGTAAATCATTGATGTGAGAAAATGAGAGGATACTAAGAAATGGCAAGCCGTCTGTGTTCGTGGGTTTGAAGCAAAGTGATTTAGAAATGCAATGCTAGCCACATCAATATTACGAAGATACCGTTCATGTAACTAGAGCAGACGGTACCTGCGACAGCCAAAATGATCTTGAGAAAAAATAATTGCAGCAAGAGGGCTTTATGGGTTACAGTAATTAAAGCAGCACGGTTCGGCATAAAAACAGATCCATAGACCGAGGGAAATGACTAGGACTCTGGAATTAAACCCATCCATGCACAGCGAAACCGATCTTTGACACAGGTTCTAAGAAAATGCTTTGGAAAAAGCACATGCTTTTCAATAAAGGATGCTGGGAAAATTGGATATCTACATGGAAAAGAACCAAATGTGACACTTAGCTTTCCTCATGCACAAAAATCAGTTAAAAAGAAAAGACTTAAACTTTTCAAACTGCTTGAATAAAACATAGGGAAGCATTTCAGGACTTGCTAAGGCAGTGTAGCTTCTTCCCCAGCGGGCGCCTTTGATGCCAAATGGTGGTGAGGGGGTTCGCAATGTAAGCACCCTGAGACTATTTACTGTGGGACCTGCTCTGGCCTTCCTAGGGCCCATTCAGGCTCCAGCCTCTGGGGCTGCCTCTCTCTGCTCCTGGTTTTTTTTCTTGGGAATTTATAGATCCTTCCCCTCCTCTCTTCCCCTGCTATCTTCCGCAGCCATAACACTATGTGCCATTATTGTAAAGGCATAACAGCACATAACAATAATGCGACATTATTGTAAAGGCAGATTTACAGGGCAGATTTGCAGTGGTTGTAACTGCTGGGGCTGAGACAATCCGAAACTTGGAGCCAGGAGTTTCTTCTGGGCCTCCCATGCAGATGCAGGATCCCAAGGTTTGGGACAGCCTCTACTGCTTTCCCAGGCCACAAGCAGGGAGCTGGATGGGAAGTGGAGAAGCTGGAAGACGAACTGGTACCCTTTTGGGACTCCAACACTTGCAAGGTGAGGATTTAGCCACTAAGCCATTGGGTTGGGCCCTAATTAAGTATTTAAGGGGCTGTATAGTTAAAACTATAAAACATCAACAAAAATTGAAGAACACAAAAATAAGTGGAAAATATTTTGTTTTCAGGTATTAGAGGAATCAATAAGGTTAAAATGCTCCAACTATCCAAAGCGATCTATAGATTTATTACAATTCCCATTCAAAAGACTACTCATATTTCTCAAGAATAGAAAAAACAATTGTGAAATTCATACGAAACCATAGAAATCCTGAACTAATAAAGTGATTTTGAGCAAAAAGAACACAGCTGGGTGTTTTTGACATGTTCCCAATCAGTGTTTGATCATTTCCGTAGTGTCTGGCCCAGCCCTCACTCCCTTGACGCTTCTCATATACCAGCTATGAAATCATTCCTTTCTCTAAGACATGATTCTGGTACAAGAGAATTACGTTCAGAGCCCAAAGCTCTGGGAACTAAGTGTTCTCTTTGCTTCAAGCCCTTTTAGTGAGCAAAACTAATAAGCAGATTTTTTGATCATGCAATTAAAACTATTTCCATATTTACAAGCAGCTTCTTAGTACAGATTCCCAGGATTTTCAATGTTTGTTCAAATAATTTTTAGTATTAACAATCTTTATTGCAAATTTATTTTCTAAAAATTTCAATTATATGAGTACTTGCTTTGTTGTACACTTGGTAATATTAGAATATATCTATTGCTTCTTTTATTCTAATTCTTAAGATCTATAACATTTATTTATTTTAAAAAAAGATTTATTTATGTTTATTGGCAAAGCAGATTTACAGACAGAAGGAAAGACAAAAAGATATTCTGTCTGCTGGTTCACTCCCCAAGTGGCCACAATAGTTGGAGCTGAGAGACTCTGAAGCCAGGAGCCAGGAGCCTCTTCTCTGTTTTCCACATGGGTTCGGGGTCCCACGACTTTGGGCCATCTTCTACTGATTTCCCAGTCCATAAGCAGGGAACTGGATGGAAAGTAGGGCAGCCGGGACACAGACCAAAGCTCATATGGAATCCTGGCAGGTGTAAGGTGAGGATTTAGCCATTGATCCATTGTGCCAGGCCCAAAATGTGTTATTTTAAGGTTAACTTTTATTAATTTCCAGCAAAAATTATTGTCTTTCTACTTGTGTTTACTCTTTGTTGAATCACTTCATCTAGTCATTTTCTCTAACATTTGCAATATTTCAAGATTCTGTTTTTGGATTTTTTTGGAATCGTCTATTTGATTAAGTATTGTGTGTTTCTAACCTATGGACCCTTTTCTGAACTCAATAGATTTTTCCAGTAAAACACAGAGGCATTTTTTTCCTAGTTAATAATTGGCAAGACATTCTGTAGAGCAATCAAATAAAAAAAAGCAAAGATGTAGTATTTTAGCAGTAGATTAAGCAGGTTACATTTTTACTAGTAGGGTCAAAGAATAATATAAGAACGTGACTTTCCTGAGTCATATTGCCTTCTGTTGTTAAAGCAAATGGTAAGAAATCCACCTCCTGCCCCAAAACAGAAATGAGACAATTAAACCTTACAGATTTTGTTTTTTTCTTTTTGTTCTTGACTGAATCCTTAACTCTGACCACAAAGCCTCAGGATGTAGGTAAGAAATTTACTTATGTATCAAAAAATGACGAAATCAGGATAACTTGTTTTATTTTAATTTGTTGTTTACTTCTTTTTATCCTTCTTGTTGCAAATCAATTATCCAAATTAACCTTTCCAGAATTTGTATTTTGTTGATTTTATCACTCAATCTATATACAGAGAGGACTATCATATCTAGAAAATGGTTAACAGGCAATGGCAGGAGAGAAAATATTGCTATGATGTTTTTTGCGGATTTAAAAATTTTAATATTTTTTACAAATGCATATATTTTGTGGTAACAATAAAGCAATGAGTCTGAATTGAGATGTAAGAAAAATCCATTTGCAGGGCAGGGTGTAGAAAGACGTCTCAACTGGCTAGTCCTTCATCTGCAATTGCTGGCATCCCATATGGGGGCTGATTTATGTCCCAGCTGCTCCACTCCCCATCCAGCTTCCTGCTTATGACCTGGGAAAGTAGCAGAGTATGACCCAGGTCCCTGGGACCTTGCACCCATGTGGAAGACAGGGAAGAGGCTCCTGGCTCCTGGCTTCAGATTGACTCAGCTCTAGTTGTTGCAACTTGGGAAGTGAGCCAAGCCAGCAGTTGGAATCTTTTTTTCTCTGTTTTTTTTTCTTCTCTCTAAATCTATCTTTTCAGTAAAAATAAATCATTAAAAAATCCATTTGTGCAACACATCTCTCACTGCAGATATGTTCAGCGTACGCAGGATCCTGTTTTCTTGTTTGCTTTTATGATTTGTGTATTTCCTTGTGACCATAAGCCTGGCAATGCAGTGCCAGCTTGGGGGAAATGTTGCTTTTTCTATTTCTTCCACCCCAAAGGGGGACCGATTTGAACTCAACTGTCCAGAGGAGGTTTATTTCTGTCATTTCTCTAGCCTGGAAATTGGACCTTCTTGTGCTGTATGCAAAGGTTCTCTAATAATGGCAGACTCTGTGTCAGTGCAGACAGCATCTCTCTTGGTTTGGCAGCCCCACAGTGTCCGTTCGTTAGAGAAGTCATGGGGCCTAGCCATGGTATTCATTCTTGAGTTTTCTCGCTTCCTTTTTATTGTAACAACCCTTGACAAACTCCTGTTGGCTTTTTTAAAAAAATTTATCTCTTTTATCTTTTCATTTCCAATCCTGGTTACGATTCAGATCTCACTGATTTCTCAAAAGAGCCATTATGGCTGTATGTCTCCCATCCATTATCCACGCTTTTATCCACCTGACTGGTAGTTATTTGCTAGCCTCTTGGAGGGGGAACTCTCAGTATTTTTAGGTAGTACTTGGCTGGTAGTTCTTCCTATGCTACTGCATAGCTTTTTTTCTATGCTGTACAAGTAATTTAATGGAGCACCAGGTTTCCACTTTTTATCTAGAACTCCTGCAATTCAGAGTCAGGTCCTTTGTATCCCACGCCTCATTATTCCCCTGTCTGACTCACTTTGTCATCACAATGGACTGACTTTGCCACAAACATGTATCTTGAGATCTCTGATCTTTGACGTTTCACTCCGTTGTTCTCACCACACAGAAAGACAGAGTGTTTGATTTTTCTGCTGAACCTGACACCTGTGCCTCTCTTCCTGCAGTTGTGCCTGGTACCTCACCCAGAGATTCTGAAGCATTCCTACGAAATACTTAACCACACGCTAAATGGGATTACAGTCACGTGTATGAGTCCTTTGTACTGTTGGTCCTTGAGGTCCAGGGAAGATGGCTTGGTCATCTTTGTTTGCCTCAAAGTGTTCAACCTCAACAGCTTGCAAAAAAAAAAATGAGGCTTTCACATCTTAGTGGGAAAACATCACTGTATTCTCATTAGTAGCTGCTACTCGGAAGGCAGATTAGGTGGATTTGGAAGTCACCTATGTATCGTGTCTGGCATTGTGCCCTGTGCTGACCTGACACCAGTGAGCTCTGTCACTCCCGTCTGACCTAGTCATCAGTTAATCCATATGGCTTTTCTCGTCATAAGCAATAGCCTTGCAGCAGGTAAATGTTAATCGTGTTTATGCAGCAATAATGACAAAGCTACAGTCTGTTCAGTTTGAGAGTAATTCAAACCAATTCAATTTAGTGAATATTTCTTGATCACATAACAACTATGACTCAAATCTCATTTTTGGCTCATGTGACTTTTGTTTATTTGCCAAATGATACTTAGCATCAGTATTTTGGCTTACAGTTTGTACACTTAAATGTTCTATATAGTTGTTTTCTTTTTTCAGAAAGTGTTAAGCTACCAGGGTATGTTGTAACTCAGATGGCCTTACTTTGCAGATGACTTGAGCGTTACACAGAACTTCATAGAAGAGAACACTGGATACCTGTGAGTTTCACTAGACTCCTTCGGATGATGGTGTTTATTATATTATAATGTGGTCTGATACATTCCAGAAATGTTAGTGCTTCTCAATGGTGATTTAAGTAGTAGGAACCAAAGAAAAATGATTATACCACTAATTACAAAATTCAAGTGACACTACTGAGTTGTAAATTTTATAGCCTTCATATGTTGATAATTTCTTGTGGCAAGTCATGCAGTGGCTGCTTCTGTGTTTCTGTTAGACCTAAAGGGGTCTTCCGCATATGACATTGTGTACCTTGTGTGGACCCTTGCAGCACCATCATTGAATTTGCTCAATATGTTCAGGAAGCAACTTTTGAGGAAGTGGAGAGGCTCATGAATGACATGCTAGAACACAGAAGGAAATGCATGGCGGACAAGACACTTTCAGAATGTTCAGAAACCACTGTGAGTAAACTGTTTGTCTTTCTTAACTATCCAAGCTTGGTTGCCAACATGGGGAGGATTCCCATTTTGAAAACATGAAAAGAAGGATGCTTATGTATGTCAGTCTTTATTTTGCCCAATTTCTAAGTTTTAGATAAGGTGCCGTCCTCAGTCGAGACATAATTCTGTACCAGGATACACAAAAGGACTCGGCTGTAAACTGGCAGGATGTAAGCATGTGCCTTATGTGTATAATACGCCACATGCACCCCGACAGAGGAGATGACCGGAGCTTGGGATGCCCGAGGAAACATGAAAGCGTTCTCTTCAGCTGCCTCTCTCAGTGTGAACTCTAATTTCACATCCTCCTTTCTGGGCTTCTCCAAATAGAGTCGCTTTCCGCATCTCCAGAAAACTGTTACTCAACACCCCAACTCTAGCAACCCACTAATACACCGGCTTTGTTGCCTTGGGAGAGGAGCAGAAAAGCAACAATGGAAGAGCAATGTAGAGAGCAAAATATCTGACAGGCTGAGAGGTCTTGTGGTCCTGTAAAGAAAGGTTCCTGAAATGATTGTCGGGTTCAGATGAAACTGCACCGTGGGTGATGGGAGGAAACATGGCAATCTAGTTCCCAAAGGATTTCACTGACTGTTCTTTGTATTCATTGTGTCTTTAGTATGAATGGGAATTGTAATGTTCTTCCCTCTTGTCCAGAATAACATTTTACAGGAAAAGATTTGTGCTATGGAAGGGTTGCCTCAAAGATATAACTTTTCACACTGCTGTAGTAAAGTCGACTTTGAAAGACGGCTCTGTTTCTTCTACAACAAGAAAGCTGATGTGGGATTTTTGCCTCTTTTCCTTACTCTGGATCCCGAAGAGCAGTGCCAGGCCTATAAAAACAGCAGAGACTCTTTTCTGAATCAGTAAGTTTCATTTTAGTAAAAGCATGATTTAATTGAAGAATTATTATTGTGCTAAACCCCAAGACAATTTAAAGGTACAGGCTGATTCTGTTGATTGGTCCATAAATTCATTCAACATGTATTATTGTCAGATTTTGTACTCAGGGTGAGGAAAAACATGAGTAAGATAGACCCTTTGGGGATTGGTGCTGTGACACATCACATTAAACTACCACTAGCAATGCCAACATCCCGTATGAGCACCAGTTTGAGTTCTGGTTGCTCCACTTCCAATCCAGCTCCCTGGTAATGCACCTTGGAAAATAGTGGAAAAGGGCCCTAGGTACTTTTCCCCATGATATCCATATGAGAATTGGGACTTCCATGCTCCTAGCTTTGGACTGGCCCTACCCTGGCTGTTGTGTTCATTTGGGGAGTGAATCAGAGAATGGAAGATCTCTCAGATTCTGTCTCTCCTTCTCTCTCTACAGCTTTGTCTTTCAATTGAACAGATCTGAAAAGAAAACAGGGACTTAAAAAAGTCCGCTTTTAAGAGCCTTATATGAAGAATGTTTTCTTAAATGTGAAATGCTGTAGAACAGAGGTGTATGCACAGTGTTAGATGGCTAGGAAATACAGAAGGGGAAATAGTATATTTTCCTTAGGGCAAGTCTCAACTTTGACATCAGAAAGGGATTAAATTACTGGATGTTTAGCCAAAAATCTGTTTTTGATTGTGCGGTAATTGCAGCAGCAGAGACTTTCTGGAAAGTTGATGTACTTGTTGAAACAAAAGTCACAAGTATATTTGAACACAAGTAAATTTGACCCTGAGCACAGATGGGGTGTGCAAAGATAGCTATTCTTTGAGTTTACAAGGGAGATTTGCTGTCTGCCAGGCGGCATGGGCAGGGAAGGAGAATAGCACAAGTCAGTTAACAAGATTACAGATGCATCATCACCCTGAATTGAACAGTTTAGTGAAAAGCACTTGAAAGGACTCACTGTTGCTTTGTATTGAAGTTTTCTATGAAGGAAACACTTCTCCTTTCTACCTTGGGTTTAGGACTTGTTACTCTTGATCTTCTATCCTGTCCCCGTCCTTGTCTACCATTCTTGCTACTTCCTTTTCCCCTCTTCTTTTTAATTTGAAACTCTTTTTTAAATATATAGCTATATATATGAATTTGCCAGAAGGAACCCTTTTGCCTTCGCTCCTACGCTTGTAACTGTGGCTGCCCGTTTTGAGGAGGTGGCAAGCACGTGCTGTGAAGAACAACACAAAGCCTCCTGTTTTGGAGTTAGGGTGAGTGCCCTGTTGGTTTCCCTGGGAGGTGCTCCCTTACAACGGAAGTGTGGACAGCAAGGGGTCATTTACCATCCCAACACTTTCTTGTCACATTCACTGATATGACTGCTGGCCAGCACCAGTTGCTGCTTTCAAATACTCTCTCTGACAGAGATCAAGGAAAGGTACTTGCTAAGTTCTCTTTTCTGTTCAGCCTTCAACCCTGTGCATGGGAAGAAGTGCATAGTGGGTGAAGACTTTGGGTAAAAGATGATGCTTTATTTCCCATCCTCTTTTGAGATGACTTATAAAGTGGCATCATCCAAGGACAGACAGGCAAGCTCACAGCTTGTGCTGAGTGCCTTTCAAGTATGGCTCCGTCATCAGGAATGCTGGCCTCGCCTTTATAATAGGTGCAGGGGCATGTTTATTTTCACATGAAAATTTACCAAATTAAGTATCTCATAGATTTACTGTCTCTGAACAAAAGGTAATGATTTGACTGGCATGGTATTAAGGAAGAAAACATTGGTGAGGTTTTGCTCCTGTTTTAGCAGAATTTTCTTTCTCTGTAGGCAGCACCTGTCACACGGTACTTGAAAGCATTGTCTTCTTATCAAAAAAATGTCTGCGGGGCCTTCATGAAATTTGGACCCCAAGTTTTAAACTCGATGTGAGTTTTGTACGTATGTATCTTGTTTCTACATGTATTTTATGGTCTTTGTTCCTTTTCTCGGTAAATGCCTGGTAACATCTTATGTATAGTTTTCCTAGTTTCCCAGGGGTTTTTGAGGTGATTTTAAGTGCATGGACAGTTCAGAATCAGGTCCAGTGATGGGATAAATCTAGGGAGGTTGCAAGAATAAAAAAAAAATCACTGGTACTTCTGGAATAAATATTGGTTAGATTGGAATCTGAGCAGGTGTGAGAGTTCCCAATGAGGATTTTTGATGTATTGGCTTTAGACAGGATTCATCCAAACCCAGAGACCACTGTTGTCCTTAACGTTGCCTCTAACCAACTTGTAATGGGAATAGAACATTGTCTTTAAAGATTTTTGAGATGTCAAGTAGAGAGTAAGAGAGTAAGAGAGAGTCCTGTGATGGGTTCTCTATGCCTGTCCTTGGCTCCTAAATCACATGGTGTTTCTTGTTACAATAATTATAGGAGGGACCCTGCCTATCAGGTCTCTTTTTTTTTTTTTATCTAAACCAGAACTGTGGGGAGAGGTTAAACATCAGCTCACAGTTTTCAAAGTAACCCTGCATACTGTGCATCATACCAGCAGCTGCGTGTGCAAAACTAAGGGTGAAATTTTTGGGGGGGAGCTATTTATATGCTATAAAGAATCTCCTCTTGTTCTACTTGCTATTCAACTCACTTTAGTGGTTTATAAATTTTCTTTCCAGAAATATTGCTATACTCAGTCAAAAATTTCCCAAGATTGGATTCAAGGAGCTTACTTTTCTCCTAGAAGATGTTTCTTCCAAGTATGATGGATGTTGCAAAGGGGATGTTACACATTGCATCCGTGGCATGGTATGTATTCTCTAAAACTGAGTAAACATTGTAATTTTTGGCAAACACTTTTATTCTAACATTGTCCTGATCTTGGATGTTAGTAAATCTTAAATATTAATGTAAAATATGGTTTTAAAAACTAAGTCCAGATAAAACTTAGGGTTTGTTTTTATACATGAGATTTTAAAAATATTTCTTAGCAATTTATATTTTTTATGGATGCATTTGAGATTTTTGAAAAATCCATTTAGGTCAAATTTTCTTTTTAAAATTTTTTTCTAAAAAATTTTGTTCATTTATTTGATATATATATGTGTATCTATCATCTATCTATTTATATCTATCTATCTATCTATCTATCTATCTATCTATCTATCTATCTATCTATCTCTTCCATCCACTAATTAACTACCTAGATGGCCATTCTACAGTCACAGCTGGTTCAGGCCAAAGCTAGGAGCCAGGAGCATCCTGTAAATCTCCCACACAGGTGGCAAGGGCCCAAACATCTGAGCCATCTTTTTTCCCCCACCATCTCCCTCTGCTCCCAGGCCATTCTGAACCAGGTTATTAACTGGTTCAGAAGTGGAGCAGCCAGGACACAAACCTGATGTATTCTTTGACACCACAAATTTTCTTTTAGGGATGTCAGGACTAGTAGTGAGGCTCAGGGACTTGATTTTTTTTTTTTTATCAATTTTCCACAGACCACTTGGGTATAAAATTTCCAAATATTGTTTTCATCTTAATTAAAAGGGAACTTTATGCATCTTTAACTTAGAACTTGATGTATGTATGTATGTATTTAAATGTGTCATGGAGACAGAATGTTGGTTTTCTTCCTAAATGCTTACAATGGTCAGGGTTTGATCAGGTGAAAGCCTAGAGCCCGGAATTCAATTCAGCTCTCCCAAGTGGGTGGCAGGACTCAAACTACTTGAGACCTCATTATAGCCTCCCAGGGTCTGCCTAGCAGAAAGCTGGAGTCAGGAGGTGGAGCTGGCTGTCTAGCCCCGGGTGTGCTGACATGGGTCATGTGCATCCAGTTGGCTTCTTAATCACTGGGCTAAATGCCTGCTCCTATGACTTGTTGTTTTGCTGTATGTCTACCTTGTGCAATGGGCAAATAAAGCTATTCATTTGTGTGTGTTGGGAATCATTTACATACATTCTTTTAATAATTTTCAAGTATACAGCATGTTTTTAGTATTTATAGTCATCAGGTATACAGTAGATTCCTTAATCTAATTCCTTTTGTCTAACTAAAATTATGTCCTGTAACTAGCATTTCCTCAATGTTCATACCTTATACTCTGATAACATTCATAATATTCTAGGGAATGTGCTGGGAAGTATATTGTTGGCATAGTTAAACTTTTTATGCCCTTAAAGATAATACAATTTAATTTAAAATGTCCTGACTTCTTTTTAGTTGAAATTAAATTCTATCTTTGAGAAGTTTAATTAGTTTAACTGCTTTAGACTACATTGAAGACAGTGTCTTAGTTAAATAATTTTAAATTTAGGGTGTTAAGCAGCTAGCAACAGATGTCTATAAATTATTTTTGTCCCAAATTGTAAACTGGTCCAAGCAATCTCATTCATGATTTATTTTTAAAATCTTGGACTGTTTATGAAAAAGCTGGCCTTATGATAGTAAATCTAATTAACTGAATCAGGATATGATTGAAAATTTTCTGCAAAGTTTACAAGCTGAAGCTAAGGGATTGTATTTCAAACTCCCTTCAGTGTCTTTATGGAAAAAATAAGAAATGAATTATAGTTGATTGAAGATAGAAGTAAATCCTCAGAGATTAAGAGATGTTCTGCCTAGAACAAAACGCCCTTAGGTGAGGTGTGAGTGTGTGTACAAAGTCTGTCTCCCTGGCACTTTATGGAGCTTGTTGGAAGCATGGCACTAAACCTCATTCTGTTTCTTACTTTAAACTGTGATGCAGCCCATTTCTCAAGCTCAGTATTCACTAGGAGATTTCAGGCAGTGAGGAAAGCTTGAGTAAAGTAACAGATGCTTAAACTAGCCTGGTGTGTTGATGGAATTCATTGAAGTACAAGTGAGAATGAAAGAGGGAGTAGGAAGAAATGTATAGCCTTGCTCTGGGTGTATGGGGAAGGAATCAGGGAAAAAAACAAAACAAAAAAACCTGTCCGAAATCATTCAACATTCAACAGGGGCAGCATTAAGCCTTGGGACCCTGATGTGAGTACCTGGGTCGAACATCTGGCTCTGCCTCCCAACTCCAACTTCTTTCTGCTGTACACTGGGAGAGCAGCAGGTGATGGCTCAACTAGTTGACGTTCTGCCACTTATGTGGGAGACCTAGATTGAGTTTCCAGTTTTGAATTTGGCTCTGGCCCGGTTGTAGTCATTGCAGGCTCTGGCCCGGTTGTAGTCATTGCAGGCATTTGGGGATGAAGCAGTGAAAGGGAGCTCTCTCTCTGTAAACATTAAAAAAACACTATTATGTGGATGTGAAATCTTGCCATTTCTCTAATTTCTGTACTTTATATATAGGTCAAGATTGGGATGAAGGATGGGAATGGGGAACAGAGCAAAGTTTCTATTTTGAGCATCATTTGATAATTTGAACAGTTTCAAATTAATAACAGTCACAGGGAAATGATACCATGAGTAGAATGATCTATTGTATTTGTGAAATTTCCATCAGGCCATTGTTGTAGTGGTTCATTTGCTGGCTAGTTTCTGTCACTGATCAAATATTTGAATTTTCACCATGTTCCTGGCAATGTAGTTTCAGGCCTCAAGAACAGGTCCATGCATATCACAATAACCTTTATATGTCTTTAGTAGCCACACTGAGAACACAGGTGGACTCTAACAGGAGAGAAAGAGCATTTAGTATACCTTATGTCAACATAGAAGGATAAAGTGTTTGAAAGGTTAATACTGAACAAAGCATATTAATTTACAATAGAGCCCAATTTCTATAAGTTGTATCATCTTAAATCCTGAGAAATAAAGCTTTTGTTAGGGTGAAAGTCAGCTGTATTTAGGGAGTACAAAACGTAAATGAGTTTTACCTACGAAATGAAATGGTCATGGTTGTTCTGCATGCAGAGATTCCATCATGAAGGAAAGCCCAGTGCTGAAGAAGTTTGGATATAGAGTCATTTCTCATTCTTTTCCGGTACAGGACAAGGTTGTGAGCCACATTTGTTCAAAACAAGATTCCATCTCCAGCAAAATCAAAGAGTGCTGTGAAAAGAAAATACAAGAACGCGGCGAGTGCATACTTAACTCAAATAAAGATGACAAACCAAAGGATTTATCTTCAAGAGAAGCAAAATTTACTGACAATGAAAATTTGTGTGAAGAACGAAATACTGACCCAGACACCTTTTTTGCTGAGTAATGCAAAATCTCTATTGAAATTTATAAGGTCAATAGAAAGAAGTTAATAAGATTTTATTTGTATTGGTTGATTTGGCTGGAAGGTTAGAAAATATTCATGGGGCATTGTATAATTTTTAAAAAAAATTTCTATAGAAAGTCGTATTTTAAATTAAGTTGGAGAAAAGAGGCTGGTGTAGTGATGACTAATCTTGATTAAATACTTGAGAACTGATTATGGCTTGCCAGGTGAGGAGCGAAATACTTGTTGTATTTTGATGCCCTCAAGAATCATGAGCTCTTAGGGGGAAAGCTTATAGATTTGTGGTCACAGGGACTAGATCTGAGTCCTGATGGAATAACTTGGACAAGTTCATCTTTCTGTGCTTCATTTCTCCACATATAAAATCCGTATACATATATTCTTCCATTCATGCTCTCTTAACTGTCATGCTCTAATGTTTATCATGAGTTGTGGATATTAAGTCAAATGAATCAAAGTGATAGATTGCACTGACACCTAAAAAAGGGATGCAACTTTTATCATTGTCGTCATCACCTGCATGATCATCACCATTATAACCCAGATAGTGACTGGAGTGGGGAGAGAAAAAGCACCGAGTGTGCTGAGGGAGCAAGCTTTCTGGATGAGCATCTGAAGGCAGTCGGCAATGGATGTTACAGCCAGGGTGGCTTCTAAGGAATTTTTGTTCATAATATAATGGGGACGTGATATTTAAATTTTTTCCTCCCTGGGAAGACATCCCTGACTTACATCAGATACTAGAAGATGCCCTGATTCTGTGAAAGTTAGTATGGTAGGAGAACATATCCCACACATGTGACAAAGAAAGCAGCTGAGAAACTGAGGAGATGATGTCCAGAAAATCAAGATTAATCAAGAGGGTCAAAAACTGTCAAAAGAACAATGAACGAGGATGAAGTGTTACTTAATCAAGAAAATTTTGTGAGGTATTGAGCTCACAAACCATGGAAGATCCTAACTTATTTTAATGAGCAAACGAGATTCCTTTATGAAGGAGACTATAACTGGCACAGCTTGGGTACTTGGAGAAGATCGCGTTCTTTGCTCAGAGTCAATTTGATATAGAAAAGAATGAAGTAGGCATTCCTTGAGACATGGGGTCAAATTTGTGCTCTATTAATAGAAAAATGCCTAGCTGGTCTACGATTTAGCTTATTCAGCAATAAAACTTTACTTATTTGAGGATTAAGTGAAGTTAAATGAGCAAGTGTTTTATAAAGGCCAGGAGGCAATACTCTATGTCTTGGGCCCAAAACTTGCTCCAGGGTCTAGTTAAACTTCATCCCTTTACTTTCCCACTTTGTCCTCAAACAATACCCATCTCTATTCTTGGAGCCTCTGACTGAGTCGGTGGAAACCATTGCCCATGAATTAGAGCTAAAGGCGTGACTACTTTAATGTACAGCAAGTGACAGAATGGAGAAATGGGCAAAGCTGCTTCTTGTCTCCCACTGAGGCTGCAGGGTCTGAGGACCAAGGCCCGTTGCCATAGGCCTAAGTTAGCCACTTTCCAACATAATTATGCTCACTGTGAGTTTCCTTTCTCTAGTTTTTATAACAATTTACTTGTTTATTTTTAAAATCAAAATTACACAAACACAGACATGGAGAAAGAGAGAGAGAGAGAGGTCTTGCACCTGCTGATTCATTCCTCTGTTGGTTGCAATGGCCAGAGCTCTGTGCCAGGTTAACACCAGGAGCCAGGAGTCGAGGGTTTTATCTGGGTCTCCCACATGGCTGGCAGGAGCCTAACAGCTTGGGCCATCTTCCATTGCTCTTCCCAGGCCACCGGCAAGGAGCTGGGCAGAAAGTGCCGCATCCAGAGGATGCCAGTGTCACAGGTGGTGCCATTATCCTCTGCTCCACAATGCTGCCCCTTCAGTGTGAATTTTCTAAAGTGCAGATGCAACATTAAATTATTTCTGATGCTCTCTGTGTTAAATACATCTAAATAATTCTAATAATTTTGTCTTATATAAAAAAAAATCTTAGTCCACATCACATGGAAGAAGATATTTGTGAAGCTTGTAGTGAAAAGGTTTTCTAAGTCACTCTGAGACCAAACTACAGGAGGAACTTGACATGTGCTTGCAGATTAATTTAGAAGATCTGACTAGATTAAAAGGCAATGGGATTTGCTTCAATGTTTAATCTACAAAATATTATATACATTGTAGGTTTCTTTATGAATATGCAAGGAGACATCCAGACTTGTCTATTCTGGAGCTTTTGCGAGTTGCTGAAGTATACAAGGATGTCATAGAAAATTGCTGCAACACAGAACACCCTCGGACTTGTTACCACAGTGTGGTAGGTTTCATTGTTAACAGAATTAAAAAAGACAACAGGATACTTAACAAAAAAATTGATGTCAAAGTTTTACTCCAATGTAGGGGGTAGAAATGCAATTGATCTCTTTTGGGTCTACTTTAGATTTATTTAACGATGATTATTATGAAGACTAAAATTATTCATCTGGCTTTTGAATGACATTTAGACCCATGAGTTTTGGCTCAGAAACTCTTCCTAGTAAACCACTGATGTTTGTATTTTTTGTATGTACTCTGCATTTGATTGCACCGTAACTGGATCTTTAAAAAAGTAACAAATGATTATTGATCACCAACCCACCAAAATTACAGACCTCAGGTTACAATCAAACACTGTAACCAAAAGTTACAAAGAAATTGCTAAAATTAATTGCTAAAATAAGTATTTCCTTTTGTAAAATAAATGAAGTAGTAGGAAGAGTTCCCATATATCCCACACTCAATTCTACTGCTAACATATCGAAAATGTTCCTTTAATCTTTTTTGTGCATACACACACACGTGTCTGTGTGTGTGTGTGTGTGTGTGTGTGTGTGTGGTAAGATTAGAAACACAGGAATGTGTACTTACTTTCCCAGGAAGCCTGGAGTCTGACATGTGTTCCTTCTGCAGATTTGAGAGAGGATCAGCTCTTTGAGCCTTCTGACTCCTAGTATAGAAAGTTTTAAAATATTAACTTATCTGAAATGATGAGAGAGAGAGAGAGAGAGAGAGATAACACTCCCATCTGCTAATGTATTCCTCAACTGCCTGCAATGAACAAGGGCAGTCCAGGTCAGAACTGGAAGCTGAGAACTCAAGTCTCTTATGTGGTTGGCAGGGACTCAGCTGCTTGAGCTCTCACCTCCTGCCTCATTGGGCGTGCATTAATAGGAAGCTGGGCTGGGGAGTAGAATCAGGACTCCAGTGCAGCTGCTTCTATATGATATGTGGTATTTTAACTGTTAGCCCAAATGTCCACGCTACACATATTTCATGTCAGCAAAAGTGCTGTTTTTAAAGTCCATTTATTTGAAAGGCAGAGTGAAAGAAGGAGAGAGAGAGAGAGAGAGAGAGAGAGAGAGAGAGAGAGAAATCTGTATGTTGATTCACCTCCCCAAAAGGTACAACAGCCATAGATGGGCCAGGCTGAAACCAGAAGCCCAGAACTTCACCCGGTTCTCCCATGAGAGAACCTCTCTTCAGGAGGCTGCAGCCCAATGACTTAGGCGTCATTGGCTGCCTTCCTAGGAGCTCTTGTTGAAAGTTGAATGAGAAACAACACAGCATAAACTAACCTTTCAGTATGGGACATATGTGTCTCAGGAGGCTGTTTAATCTGCCCCACAAGTCCAATTTTATAATCATATGAAAGTCTGTCAAATATTGGAAGAAAATGATTGTAGATTTTATTCTCCAGTACTTATGAGATGAGCCATTCTGGACAAGTCACTACATTTTATAAGGCCAGTTTCTTTTACTTACAAATGGAGATAACAAATGCTTTGATCACTTGAAAGGGATAATCAGATGAGATTTTTATCAATAAAATATTCGAATCATACTTTGTAAGTGGAAAGCTCCAAAAGATGTACAAGATGATATTGAAAAACTTGGATTTCAAATTTTAGCAAGGCTGCTTATCTATAATGGAAGAAATTCAAATTATTTCACACACATGCAAAAGGTATCCCTAACTTAGTAAGTAATGTATAATAATTAAAGTTTGAAAATACTAAATAAGTACATAAAAGCTACTTGACAAGAGGATTTAAAGTTTATCATTACATTTTTGATAAGCACTTTGATCTGTCTTTGTTCTTATTTCAGGAAGACAAATTCAATGAGACAACTGAAAAAAGCCTCAAGATGGTACAACAAGAATGTAAACGTTTCCAGAATTTGGGGAAGGATGGCTTGACGTCTTAGTAGGTTATTGGCACAAGTGGGTTAACATTTGTGATCAGGACAAGTACAGAACCCCTCAAAGTATAGAAATACCAGCCCAATCATTCAGGGATGGAAGTTCCTGAACCCTGGGAAGGAATAAACACACAGAAGTCAAGAATGTATATTGAATGGTAGCATTAAACTTTCATTAGAAATGAGGAGAGTGATGGAAGACGTGCAAGAATCTGGACAAACAGATGATCCAATGCTTTAGTTTCCATGTGAACTTGAATTTCTCGCCCCTAACCCAGAAACCCGGATTGTGCCCCATTTGGAAGAGTGATGGAGCAGACTTGAGGTTATCACAGTTTCCTTAAGATAACATTTTCGCCCTAGGATTTATGCCTAATCTTTAATGAGTTTATAGAAAGAACTGCATTTATGTAACCTTTTAGCAGTTATGTCTCTAGTGTCCTTGCAGGCATCATGAATGATACAGTTTTCTCCGATTCTGTTAATTATGCTAACATGGCTGTTAAAACCGAACAGCCTCGAATCAGAACAAAATGCAATTAAAAAATACGTTTTTTTCAGTATTTCTGCCATCTGACAGCTGAGAATTTAAACAATCCATTCAGGATCTTAGTTTCCTTTATCTTTATCCCTTTAAAATAATTACCAAAGACACAAAGGATTTCAAGCAGAGCTTTACATGCCAGTCAAAGTTTTGCTGTCACGAGGCTCCTATCCTAACAAGGCAGAGTGGCGAGTCCTAGAGCGTCTGTAGTGACCATGAACTTGGAGAAGGGAACACACAGAGACATAGAAGACAGAATGTGGGGGAATGGTGTACTTTATGAGAGCTGAGGTTCAGCTTGCACTTAACTGATTACCTAGTCTTGAAGGGTGTGGGTTTCAGAGCCAATGGGTATCCACTTTCACTCAGAATCAGACACATTTTCTTTCAGCTACCTTATCAAACTCACCAAGACAGCGCCCCAGCTCCCCACTGAAGAACTGATCTCTCTGGGCAAGGAGATGGTGGTGGCCTTGACCACCTGCTGCACGCTAAGTGAAGAGTTTGCCTGTGTGGATAATTTGGTGAGCTTGGCTCCTCACCCACTGCTTTAGTCTCTATCTGCCTTCTTCATTGTTTTCAACATCATCTAACCAAGAATGTCAGACTTTTTAAAATTCAACCCTAGAGCAAGTGAATGTCTGCAACACTTGAGGGTCTTTTTTTGATTTTATTGTTTCTTATTTATGGTAGATATGCTTTGTTAAGGTAACTGTTTTAGAACGAGAAGAGAAGCTTCTTAATTTTCAGTGATGTTACAAATTCTCTCCCCAACACCAAGAGGGGTAATTTCTTTAAAAAGATTTCTGCTTCTATCCTAAAAAGATGTTCCATGTGTGTTTTCAGGACATCCCTGAAGGGAAGTCAAACCAAGGACTGGGATGTTAGGCCATTTTTTCCCCCACTTGACTGCTTCTATGCTTACAGTTGAAAGTTCCTGTGCATGTTGCCAAGAAATGTATCTCCAGGCATTTAAGTTGTTTTGGTTTGCATTTTGCCATAGTGTCGTTCAGGATTCTAGCCTCTATTTCTTCTTATATGTAGTGTAGCGTTAGGACTTCATGCAGTTTCCTGAGTCAGATTAACAACGATCTTAGAAAAATGTAGCTATTGTGCTCTCTGATCATATTTTTCAAAATTTGATTCAAATTTTAAAATCGCACCTGAGTTCCGCCTCTGACTGGTACAGATGGACTTAGTTCTTGGAGACCTGTGTGGTGTCAATCAAAATCGAACCATCAACCCTGCTGTGGACCACTGCTGTCAGACCAGCTTCGCCTTCCGAAGGCCCTGCTTGGAGGGTCTGGAAGCTGACCCAATGTATGTGCCTCCACTCATTGCGCAAGATGTGTTTGCCTTTCGTGCAGACTGGTGTCAGGCTCAGGATGAAGAGCTCCAGAGAAAGCAAGACAGGTAGAACATGCTCTCTGTTGCCTTCTTCAGCCTGAGACACCCCCCATCATGTCTTAGTGAGAAGGTTCATGGCAATGGTTGTGGCTTTAGAGACATAGTCCTACTCCTTCTCCTAAACAGAAGCACCAGTGGTTACTCATCACCATTGACTGGAAGTAAAAACCTACTGAACTTTCCTTTGCAGGGGACTTGGAGTGTATAGAAGGCTGTGTTTAGGAAATGAGTGGGGCAGCCTGTGTAGTCTCAGACGAGGAGTGGTGATGAATTGGAGTTTGTTGGGGCAATGGCATGGATTGCCATGGGAATCTTACTAAATGTTTGAAAGAAAGGATAGGTCTAGAGGCACAGAAATATTGCCTTTGTTAGCTCAGGTTTTGCTTTAAATACCATGAAACGAGTGGTTGTTTGCATTCAGGCAGTCTGTATCAAGAGGAGTGGAAATAGCTTTCAGCTACCGAAAAAGAGACTATGGTTGTTTTGCACATCAATTTTCTAGAAAGATCAAATGTGGACACTTATGTGGTGATAATGTACATAATAAGGCCTCCTATCAAGGTACTTCAGAAAGTTCATGGAAAAGTAGAACCCAAGTATGAGTCTATTTTGGTGCAATTTTTAAAAATGTGCATAATTTTTTCATAACACTTATTTTCCTACATATGATAAAAAATTTTGTTATAAAATAAACTCATATCCTGGACTCCATTTCCACTGTCTTTTGAAATCCCCTCGCATACATTTTAAAAAAAGATTTGTTGATTTTTATTGGAAAGTAAGATTTACAGAGAGAAGGAGAGACAGAAAGATCCTCCATCTGCTGATTCACTCCCCAAGTGGTTGCAACAGCCAGAGTTGAACTGAGCCAATACCAGGAGCCATGAGCTTCCCCTAGGTCTTCTACTTGGGTGCAGGGTCCCAAGGCTTTAGGACATCCTTGACTGCTTTCCCAGGCCACAAGCAGGGAGCAGGATGGGAAGTGGAGCAGAGGGGACACAAACCAGTGCCCATATGGGATCCTGGTGTACGCAAGGTGAGACTCTATCCACTAGGCTACTGTGCTGGGCTCCTTTCATACATCTTTAAAAATAATTATTTTTATTTTTGATGTTTTTACGTAGTTGACTAGAGTGAATAGGGTCAAGGACTACAGGAAGTGGCTGAGATCACTATTTCCACATTCTCTGTTTTTCCTTCCTGCATCTGGGGCAGGGGGAGACAAGGAGAGAAGCCACACACAGCCTCCCAAATGCCTCTGCACCATGGGATGGTCACCACCCCAGTGTCCCCAATGTGGGGCATGCTCTGAGGGTCCTGCTCATGAGATTTCAATAGTTCAACAGTTCTGTATTATGCTGTTTTTGCCACTCCAAACACGATTAATCCTCTCCAGAATCCATTGGCTGACAAAGCCCACCTTGCATACATTTTTATATCAATGTATTTGTGATTACCCAGCTTCCAAAGAATATTCTACGCAATCCATTCTATTGGTATTAACAGGAAAGCTTCAGATCTTTCAAAAACTGACAGATTTTAATTCTTTTTTAAAAAGTTTTTATTTATTTTTACTGGAAAGGCAGATTTAGAGAGAAGCAGAGACAGAGAAAAAGATCTTTCTCCATTGGTTCACTCCCTAAGTGGCCACAATGGCCAGAGTTGAGCCGATCTGAAGCTAGATGCCAGGAACTTCTCTGTGGTTTTCTATGTGGGTGCAGGATCCCAAAGCTTTGGGCCATCCTCAACTGCTTTCCCAGGCTATAAGCAGGGAGCTGGATGGTAAATGGAATAGTCGGGACATGAACTGGTGTCCATATGAGTTCCTGGTGCATTCAAGGTGAGGATTTAGCCACTAGGCCATTGTGCTTAGCCTGAGATTGTGATTCTTTATACTCTTTGATATGAGATCCCCTCCCCTAAAACATTTGATTCTTTAACAAGCATTTTAAAGAAGAGGTTTAGACTAAAATTGTTACCAGAGAAGCTGGTTGGCCTCTTTGCCCAGCTCAGTATAGAATAATAAGCTGGGAATTTGTTGCAGAGAGAGAAATTTCATTTGTGAAGTGACCAGGTGAACATGGAAAGAAGAGAAGGTCAAAGCACCTCCAGAGAGAGAGCTGGGAAGTAGGGTGCTGCTTGAAAGGAGAGAGGGAGAGATATCAAAGGTTTTAGAAGGGCCTTGGGATTTTAAACATCCCCTGACCACTCCTTGTCTGGGCGGGAACTGCGAGGAAGTTGCTCTCCAGTTAGGAAATGGCTGGGCAATTGTTGCATCACCCACTTGAAGGTATGGCCAAGATTTTAGCGGCTTGGATGGTCTCAAAAACCACTAATTAATTCAATGTGATATCTTTTGGGTCATAGGTTTCTTGTCAACTTAGTGAAGCTGAAGCCTGAACTCGCCAATCAGGAGGTGCAGTCTTTATTCACTAATTTCACTGACACAGTGGAGAGTTGCTGCAAAGCCAAGGCACCCGAAGCCTGTTTTAACCAAGAGGTAGTGCAATTTTCCTACTATAATTCCTCTGATATTCCTGGGGAAAAAAAACTAGTCAGAGTTGATGGTAAGACCCTGCTTCCTCTCTGCAATGGCCATAGTTGCTCCATGGTCATTGGCAGACAGCTTCCTGGCACAGGCTCTGGGCATCCTGGATGATGGCAATGGAGTATGAAAAGCTATGAAGAAAACCTAGTTTCCAATTCCAGCCCTCTGGGTCATGTAACGTGAGTTGAAGCTCAGCATCTGAGAGGATGATGATAGCTCTTGTTAATTACACCGCCATTTTCACAAAACAGATTCCATGTGGCCTGTAATGGAAATCACTGCTAGCTTCAAAGAAAGGGGGGAACAAAGGAGCAGAAAGCCAAGTCTCTCTGGGGTGACTGTCCCACCCTCCCAGATCTTGTCCTAACCTACCCTAGGGTTGAAAGTATCCGAGAGAGTGGAAGACAAGCGTAGTAGAGGGGAGGAGATAAGAAATGCCACAGCAGGTGGGAGCATCCGTGGTAGTGGTCCCAGTGGATTCCTGTGTGACAGCTGCTGTTCCTTGTTCTCCAGCTTCCTTCTCACTCTATTTCCTAGCAGTGTCTACTCCCATTCTCACAACCCACACTTACTCAGAGATGTAGCCTCACCCCGCCTTGCCTGCTGGTGGAAAATCCTTGATTTTCTTTGTTTTGAAAAAGCATTTAATATTTAATTAAAAATTATTGCTCAACACGAAGCATTCACCTAAGTGAGTGTATACTTTAAGGCTAAGTAAAGGGGTGGATGAATTTATTGTTAGTTCTTACAAGACCCTGGGAGTTCATTTTTAGATTTAGTGGAAGAAAAAACATTCATTTTTCCCCTGTAAGATATAGGAGTGGTTTACTAATTTTTACTTCCTTCTCTCTCTCTCTCTTAGCGTCCAAAAATTGGCAGTTGAAGACAGGTTGCTTGAGAAACAGTTATAAATTGCTCAAGGTAATCTCTTCTCTCTCATCCAAATGTCAAATGTATTTTCAGCTGATTTGGCCTTCCTGCCTTTTTCTGTTTCCTGTCTCTGCTTCCTCCCTCATTGTAATGTGTCTGTGGTGACACCAGACACCCTGGTTATGGGCAGGAGAGTTGCAAGTAGACTAGCTCGAACATCTCTTCCTGTTCAGGATTCTAAGGAGCATAAGGATACTTATTTCATCTTTCTGCTCTTTCATTGAGAACCCTGGACCAGGATACAGAGACAATCAAATCTCCAATTGTTGATAGGAACAAGCGGGGTATGATCTCCAGGGATGGGCTAGTAGTAATCCTATTGCAAAAACCTTTCTGAAAAGACCCAATTTTTAAAAGTAACATTACTGAAATAGGATTGATATGCAAACCAAGGGATTTGCTGTAGCATTTGCCTATTTACTTATTTATTTATTTACTTATTTATTTCAGAGGCAGAGAGAGAGAAAGAGGGAGAGATAGAGAGTGAGCTCTTTGCCATTCCCCAAACGCCTGCATTGTCTGGAGCTAGGCTAAGGTTGAAGAAGTAGAGACTGGGAATCCATCTTGGTCTCCTAGAGACTCAAGTATATAGCCATTGCTTCTTCCTGCCAGGGTTTCCTTCAGCAGGGGCTAGAATCAGAGCTCACACCCAGGGCACAGTGATGTGGGCCGTGGTATCTTAATCAGTGGGCTTAATACTCCCCCATATTTCTAATTCTTTGGATATATAAAATAATGTTTTTTTTTTCCTTCCAGCAAGTTTCCTGTATGTCCTCTGGTAAACTTCATTTCCCGAAGAGCAATGTACAAAGGTTCATCTGTAACCTTCATCTGAAATTGTGTTATTGCAGCAAGCAATAAACACAAAATTGTGGTTATTTCCCATATTGCTGTCATTTATCATCCAATCATAAAGTTAAGCAGTCATTGTTTATTCATTCCATCAACTTTTTTTTTCCTTGCTGGCAAAGTCTGCCTTGCTCTGAGCAATTTGAACTTGGATTCAAAGCTGTGTGTTTCTAGATCTCGCACTTGTCATTCATTACTGGAAAGAAATGAGGAGTTGTGGGCAGGCATCAATTATGTTACAGCTATTACTACAGTTACTGCTGTTTATTTTTGCTGTTATCAATGCAAGAGACATTGTTCTACATTTCATGCATTATCTCATTTGATCCTAACAACTCTATGAGTTGGTATTATTTTCATTACTGTTTTACAGATATGGAATCTGAGATTAAGTGGCATACATTCAACTATTTAATATCATAAGACTAGCAAGTGACAAAGAAACTATTGGAATTTGGATCCTTTAATTGCAGAGCAATATTCATAAGCACTGTCCACACTACCTCCTAGGTGTGATCTTGTTATTTGCCTTATAGAATCTACTATTCAGAGAAAGGGAGACATGTCCAAGACAGCAGCAACTGTAGTACTCTCATCTATTCTCTCTACTACAACTGCTTGTTAGGTCAGAAAATAAAGGCTTGGTGGTTATGGCAAAAGGAAATGGAATCTGATCATGGAGGCTTATGGCCTGAGTAGCTGGACTGTTATCCACACCTTAGGATTTTAGAGCTTCAGTGTCTAAGATTGAAGATAATGAACATTTAATAGACAGTAACTGAGGAAATTCACAGAGGTCTTTGGGAATACTGTTTAAAGCACAGTGCTTGGAATTCTTTTTTTTTTTTTAAAGATTTATTTTTATTATTTTTTCATTGGAAAGGCGGATATATAGAGAGGAGAGACAGAGAGGAAGAGCTTCTGTCCGATGAATCACTCCCCAAGTGAGCCGCAACGGCCGATACTATGGCGATCCGAAGCCGGGAGCCTCTTCCGGGTCTCCCACGCGGGTGCAGGGTCCCAAAGCTTTGGGCCGTCCTCGACTGCTTTCCCGGGCCACAGGCAGGAAGCTGGATGGGAAGCGGCGCTGCCGGGATTAGAACTGGTGCCCATATGGGATCCCGGGCGTGCAAGGTGAGGACCTTAACCACTTGCGCCACCGCGCTGGGCCCTGGAATTCTTTTTCTTTAATAATCATTTTTATTATCCAACATAATAATTTAAAAATTATTATTATTTATCATTTTATGATACAGTTCCATAGGCCCCTGGGATTTCCTTTAATCCCTCCCCAGATCCCCTCCACCTAGTTCCCCTATATCATTACTATAGTTCTTCATACACAGTCATACGTCCATCATTGTGGACGTGGACAATGGCAGAGTCCAGCATCCTATTATCAAGATAGAGTAAACAATTTCATTGTAAATCCATCTTTGTCTGGAAGCAGGAATGCATACTACACTGCATCCTCACATCTGGATATGTTAGTCTCCATTTCACAGTTACTATACATCCCCTTAAATGAAAAGACACAATACAAAATCAACAATAGAAAGAAAAATAGAAATTTACAATGCCATGAAGTTAAATAACATGCTTCTAGATATGACAGTTTCCATTGCACAGCTAATATACATCCCCTTAAATGAAAAGCCACAACACAAGATAAACAACAGGAAGAAAAAAGAAATTAACAAGACCATGAAGTTAAATAACATGCTACTGATAGATTGATGTGTCGCTGAAGAAATAAAAAAGAAAATCAAGAACTTTCTTGAAGAAAATGATGCCACAACATGGTCTACGAGTCACTGAATGATTTAATCAGAAGAAAGTGTTTTGAAGAGATGAAAACAAAAACAAAAACATCAAAATCCATGAGATACAGCTTCTACTGATTTTTGTTGGTGAAATGTGTCTCTTCTAGACAACAAATAGATGGGTTTTGTTTTTTAATCCAGTCTACTAATCTATGATGTTTGATTGAGCTTAAGCCATTTACATTCAGAGTTAAATATACATGGGTGGTACTTTGGTCCTGTCATTTTAGGAATGGGTTGTTCATTGATTTAGTCTTCTGTTGTCATTTTACTGGGATGTTCTTCTCGTTTGCCTTTGGTTTTGTTGGGTGTCATTCCTCTTTTCTGTTAAGAGAACATCTTGAAGTATCATTTGTAGGGCAGGTTTGAAAGAGGCATATTCTTTTACTTTTGTTTACTGTGGAAGATTTTTAGTTCATTTTCAAAGATAAAAGAAAGCTTTGCTGGGTATGTTATCCTGGGCTGACAATTTTTTTCTTTTAGAGTCTGAAATATGTCACTCCATTCTCTTCTGCCTGGTAGAGTTTCCTGTGAGAGATCTCCTGTGAGTTTAATTGGCATTCCTTTATATGTCAGTCGATTTTTTTCACATGCACATTTAAGGATCTTTTCCTTGTGTTCAATTGAAGAGAGCTGGCTGATCATGTGTCGTGGTGAAGATTGCTTTTGATCAAGCCTGTTGGGAGTTCTGTGCCCCTCCTGGATCTTGTTTCCCAATTCTTTCTCTAGATTAGGGAAATTTTCCCTTATTATTTCATTAAATATATCTGTAAAGCCAGTTTCTCTTTCTGCACATTCCGGGACTCCCGTAACTCTTATATTTGGCCTCTTAATAGTGTCTTTCAATTCTTGAATTTTTTTTGGCCTGATTAAGCTCTGCTTCCAGCTTTTTGTTTGTTTCCCCCTGGTGACAGGAAATATCTTCCAATCCTGAGATTCTTTTTTCTGCTTGCTTCATTCTATTTTGGAGACTCACCACTGTACTTTTAATTTGCTCTACTGTGTTCTTAATTTCTGATATACAGCCTTGATTTGCTTTATTGCTGCTATTGCTTGTGTAATATATTCCTTAAATTCTTTGAACTCTTGTATGTGCTTCTCATTGTTGATCATAAGCTTTATAATGAGTTTTCTGAATTATGTGTCCCCCATTTTCTCGATGTCTTCCTCAGTTAACTCTGAGATTGGCATAGGGTTTTGCTCCTTTGCAGGGGCGTTTTCAGTAATATTTGTTGTGCCTTTGTCTCTTTTTTTTGCTCTTGATCATTGCACTTTTGATTACCAGATTCTTCTCCTTTGTGTGGGTTTCTAAGCTCTATCACCCACAGGTCTACAGTTCGATTTTACTTATTGCAGTTGGTACACAACTCTTTGCTTGCAGCCAATTGCACCACTCCCTCCAGTGAGTTCCAGGTCTGGGTTCTTATGTTACATTTCTACCATGGTCTCCACAGCTCCAACTCCTGGCTCACAAGTCTGAGGTTGCACTGTTGTCTGTACAACCTTTCTCCCTCTTCCAGTTGGAGCAGGTCCCCGGATTAGGGAGACACCAGGTTTCCTATACAGCTGGGTTATTGGTGGTGCTGATCTTGCAGGAACCTGTTGGACGTTGGGTCTGGCTGCCACAAGGACCTGTTTTGTCCTGTATGATGCCACAGTTGGTATTATTTTCCTGTGGGACCAGTGCAATTCACTGAACTTAGTGAGTTCTCATGAGCTCAGCACATGCACAGTTCACTGTTTTCCCCTGAAGTCCTAAAGTTTTTGCCACAGTGTACAAAATGGCACCTGATATGCCCCTACTAGAGTTCTTGATCTGTTGGCTGTCAGGTCTGTGGGCTAATCAGACCTGTATTGGGTGGAACCTATACAATGCCACATCACTGCAATTAACTGAGTCAAAAACAAGTTCACTCTGAGCTCAGTTTGTACTCAGTCCTTTCCCTTGCCTTTGCCTCCTTAGGCAAAATGGTGCCCAATTTGGCTGTAGGGAGCTGTGAAATCCACACTGTTCTCGCACTACCCATCTGGGATCTGCTGCTCAGTCTCTGCTCCTGGTCAAATCAAACAGACCAGCAGGTCGGACAGTTCTTTGTTTGGGTTCACCTCCCAAGCTCCTAGTGAAAGTCCCTTCCCACCTGGTTGCTGGTGGAGTTCCAGCTGCTGGCGGAGTTCAGATCGCCCTTTGCTGAATGTCGCTGGAGTATCAGTCACTGCAACACCACACCGTTGTTTCCACTGCTTTCCTGTGTCTGACAGTCTCCAGGTGCCCCTCTGCTGTTGTTCTGTCCTCTCCTGTTTCCTGGAATGTGTCCTCTCTGCTTCATCCTGATTAAATGTTTCTCTGTCCATTTAAATGTGTCCTTACCCTATTCTGCCATCTTGATTCTCCTTAATAGTCTTTACATAGTTGATTAGGGCACAAAGGGTCAAAGGCTACAGCAAAGTGGGTAAGACCATTGTTTCCACATTTTTTGTGTGTATGTATCTGGGGTAAGGAGGGAGATAAGGGGAGAAGCCCCATCTGGCTTCCCACCCCATCCCGGATTCCCCAACGTGGGGCATTCTCCAAAGGCACTGCTCAAGTTGTTTCAATAGTTCAACAGTTCTGAATTGCTGCCACTCTAGCCATTCCAAGCACGACGAAATCTCTCCAGAATCCACTGGCTGACGTACTCCACCTTAGAGTCTCCATTTGCCCAGTTCTTCACTGCCAACACATGGCTGGGGCAGATGATTGATTTGTTCTGTGCTCTGTCCTCTGTTGTGGTACCCAGTGTCCTCTGCAGGCTCTGATGGACTGCCATTTCCTTTGTGCGCTTGGATATGCTGTCTATTGTTCTTTCTGAGCCTCTGAGGAGGCTCAGCTTTGACACATGCACTCTATGGTTAGACCATGGAACCTGCAATTCTCTTCATGGTTGGGGTTCTGAGATCAGCAATTCAGTTGGAAGTAACCCCCAAAGAAACTTCGTCTAAGGTGATCCCAGATCTGATTCTTGTGTGTAAATGCCAGTACAGGGTCTGGTACAGTTCATTGCCCGAATCAGGTTATGCACATGCTGGTGGTTGCAATTGCTGGGTCAGTTCTGTTTCCAGACCTGTCTTCCACACGAACCAATGGGTATTGGAGTCAAGCCTGATTCTATCAGCACACACTTGGCCCTGTGGCAAACCAGTGGGAGCTGCAGCCTAGTCAGGGTGACTCCCAATAACCCCTACCAGGCCTGCCTCCTTCCTTGGTTTCCGTGCTTGCCAGTATGTACAGCAGACGTGTCCTGTCTGTCCCACATCCCATTCAACTGTTATACATGTCAATGGGCACTGCAGCTTAGTTCAACCCAACCAGCCCTACTTTCCAGCCCACACACTTGCTGGCAGGT